GTACATAATTAATTTACATACGATTAGAACGAACGCGACGAACTAATGACAACATAACGACACATGTTAACCCTTGTCATCCTAACCTTGGGGATATGTGTCAACTATTTGCCAAAAAATACCTAAAAATTATAGACATGTTGATTATAACTTAGAGTAAGTCAGGTCGTTACCCAAAGCATAGTGAGTTCGCGATAGAAAGGGTCCTTTTATGGAGAGTGAAGACTAGTAAATGTAAAATAAGCGATAATATCGTTCATTTATAAAGTATAGTATTTTAACTTTGCATTTAATTTGCATTAAGTATATTGTATAATAACTTAAATATAGTAATACAGAAGACCACTCGCTAGTTATTTGAGGAGGTTGACCACTCCCTGGTTATTTGAGGAGGTTGACCACTCCCTGTTAACTGAGTAGGTTGACCACTCCCTGGTTATTTGAGTAGGGTGACCACTCCCTAGTTATTTGAAGAGAATGACCACTCCCTGGTTATATGAGGAGAATGACCACTCCCTGTTAACTGAGTAGGTCGACCACTCCCTGGTTATTTGAGGAGGTTGACCACTCCCTAGTTATTTGAGGAGGTTGACCACTCCCTGTTAACTGAGTAGGTTGACCACTCCCTGGTTATTTGAGGAGAATGACGACTCCCTGGCTATTTGAGTAGGTTGACCACTCCCTGTTAACTGAGGAGGTTGACCACTCCCTGGTTATTTTAGGAGGTTGACCACTCCCTGGTTATTTTAGGAGGTTGACCCCTCTCAGGTTATTTGAGGAGGTTGATAATGCCATACCTTTAGTCGGATTTTGTTCGTGAGTTAAGAACTCACTTACAGTTCCGATAATGTCTATGTGTTTGTATTTGAGTTTATCTGTAGGGCGGTGTGTGTCTTTTCTAATTTGATTTTGGCGTTATTTAGTAAAAAAATTATCTAGGTTTACGTATCCTGCACGATCGGTCACGACCGTTTGATATTTTGATTTCGTAAAATGTTGACAATTTAAGTTCATATCCTTGTCTTGACGTGGTTAAAGGTATTTTTGTTTAATTTCCTCTAGTTTTTATTGCTGCATGAAATGGACGGAGTTTGACGTCATGTTAGAATGGATTTATTTTGTGTGTACAGCAAAACCCCCAATAAAAAAATAAAATAAAAATTGAAGTTATAGATTCTACAGGATAACAACTTACGCTTCAAGTCATTTCTCTACATTTAACAAAGAAGAGAAAATCGGAAAGCCGTATTATCTTTCTGTTGTTGAAGTTAATGCTCTAAGCGCATCGACAGAATATCCCCTGCATAAAGATAGGCATATTGTTAATTGGATTTTATTGTTTCGGGTTGTTTACGGAATATCCATTTCAAACGATTACTATATGGAACTCGTAACAACTAGCGATATCATTGGACTGCAGATTAGTACTTGTTTTGCTGTTCATTTCAGGATATCGTTGGTCAACGTTTTGTTAGCTTGACAACAAACGCTTAAGTGTAAATCGGAAACCGAGATTTTGTAAGCAATAATGCAATTCCTTAGTAAATTTATACATGCACTGTTTTAAACGTTAATAATGAAAAAAAGAAAAACAAAAATGGAAAACGTTAATGGTATTGGCTCTTTATGAGTTTAGAAACAATCATTTATGTACTCTAATAAACGTTAAGCTGACTAAGTTTCCCCCCAATAATCATTTATGTACTCTAATAATAGATGACTAAATCCCCCCCCCCCCCCCCCCCCCCCCCCGCATGACTGTTAGCAGACGACTAGAGAGTTTACTATTGCTATGCTACAGTTGTTATTGTACTTGTGCTATCACCAGATTATCGGAACACCGAATCTCGATGTCTCTAATGGGGTCATGCATATTGCCGTCTGGAAAGGAGACAATTACAGATAGCTGGTGATCGAGTGAAGGCCTGTTATGCTAGGCGACGTGGGTTCTATCTTTCAAAGTGTAGTCAGCTTACAGGGTCAAAAAAAAGATTTTACCTGGTAACGTTATATCAGACGGAGGAAGTCATATTGAACATGTAAACATGAAATATCTTTATTTTATTCTATGTGAGTCAAATATTTTTAATAATCAACAGAAACCATCGAAGTCGACATTTCCTATCAGTTTTATCAATTTTACGGTATATATATATTATTATTTTTTGCATAAATACATAATCTTACCGCAGATGGCGGAAATAAATCACCTCCATTTGCTTTAAGAGATATTTTTTAAGTTTACGTATAATAACTTTTTGATCAAAGGGATTAAATTTCAATACTATGACAAGTAATTAATTTCAAGAAAGAGATGAAACATATCATGCACATTGTATTCTCATTAATACAACATCATTCGTTCCCAGTAGATAATCTAGCTACCTTCGCTCCCAGTAGATAAACCAGTTACATTCGTTCCCAGTAGATAATCCAGTTACATTCGTTCCCATTAGATAATCCTGTTACATTCGTTCCCAGTATATAATCCAGTTACATTCGTTCCCAGTAGATAATCTAGTTACATTCGTTCCCAGTAGATAATCAAGTTACATTCGTTCCCAGTAGATAATCCAGTTACATTCGTTGCCAGTAGATAATCCAGTTACATTCGTTCCCAGTAGATTATCCAGTTACATTCGTTCCCAGTTGATAATCTAGTTACATTCGTTCCTAGTAGATCATCTAGCTACATTTGTTCCCAGTAGATAATTCAGTTACATTCGTTGCCAGTAGATAATCCAGTTACATTTGTTCTCAGTAGATATTCTAGCTACATTCGTTCCCAGTAGATAATTCAGTTACATTCGTTCCCAGTAGATAATCCAGTTACATGTGTTCTTAGTAGATAATCTAGTTACATTCGTTCCCAGTAGATCATCTAGCTACATTTGTTCCCAGTAGATAATCCAGTAACATTCGTTCCCAGTAGATATTCCAGTTACATTCGTTCCCAGTAGATAATCCTGTTACATTCGTTCCCAGTATATAATCCAGTTACATTCGTTCCCAGTAGATAATCTAGTTACATTCGTTCCCAGTAGATAATCAAGTTACATTCGTTTCCAGTAGATAATCCAGTTACATTCGTTGCCAGTAGATTATCCAGTTACATTCGTTCCCAGTAGATAATCTAGTTACATTCGTTCCTAGTAGATAATCAAGTTACATTCGTTCCCAGTAGATAATCCAGTTACATTCGTTCCCAGTAGATAATCTAGTTACATTCGTTCCCAGTAGATCATCTAGCTACATTTGTTCCCAGTAGATAATCCAGTTAAATTCGTTCCCAGTAGATAATCCAGTTACATTCGTTGCCAGTAGATAATCCAGTTACATTCGTTCCCAGTAGATAATCAAGTTACATTCGTTCCCAGTAGATCATCTAGTTACATTTGTTCCCAGTAGATAATCTAGTTACATTCGTTCCCAGTAGATCATCTAGCTACATTTGTTCCCAGTAGATAATCCAGTTACATTTGTTCCCAGTAGATAATCCAGTTAAATTCGTTCCCAGTAGATAATCCAGTTAAATTCGTTCCCAGTAGATAATTCAGTTACATTTGTTCCCAGTAGATAATCTAGCTACATTCTTTTTAGTAGAATATTTAACCATCTTGGTGTCATGTTGATTAAACATTCCATTTTCGGTCTGATGACAAAAGTTACTGAATTGTAAGACAACTGGAAAACTATAACAATTGTTTTAAAGAAAAGGCCAGTCTGTCCACTAAAACACTGGTTGGATGGTAAAACAACGGATAAGTAGTCGTCAGATTAATGATGACTGCATAAACCTTTAAGTTGCATTATTCTACGTGATATCAATAAAGTGTTGCATTTGTTTACCGATATAAATGTAAAACATAAAAAAATAAACGAATAGATAAATAAACAAGAAATGTAAGCGGACAACAAGTCTCTTTTTGCGTAAACTTTATTCGCAATTATTATGTAGTTAAATATATGTTTGTTTTTCATTTGCTTGGTTCGGTTGGATTGTATTATTGAATGATATTACAAAGAAAACTTAATAATACCAACTTTAGTCCAAACTTGTACGCAACTAAAAAAGAAGAAACTTTGATAATTATTTCCCTTTATGTGTAAAAATATTCAAATGTTGTGGGATTAATTTGATTTAATTAACAAACTTAAAACGCTGAGGTTATGTTAATGTCAAAATCGTGACAACGAACACGTTAATGATTTCAGGGGTGTAAGTCACTACCAACCACTGGTAGCTCACACCCGCTACTGGTAAATCACACCTGCTACTGGTAACTCACACCCGCTACTGGTAAATCACACCCGCTACTGGTAACTCACACCCGCTACTGGTATATCACACCCGCTACTGGTAAATCACACCCGCCACCCGCTACTGGTAAGTCACACCCGCTACTGGTAAGTCACACCCGCTACTGGTAAGTTACACCCGCTACTGGTAAATCACACCCGCTACTGGTAAATCACGCCCGCTACTGGTAAATCACACCCACTACTGGTAAATCACACCCACTACTGGTAAATCACACCCGCTACTGTGGAGCATCTGTCACAAAACAAACCCACACTTTTAACTTAATTATCAATCAATTTAATTATAAAATTATCGACAGAAAAAGTTGACAGAGATATATTGTTTCGAACGTGGCTAAGTTAATATAATTATTGTGTGTTATGACGTTTCAGTTCAAAACTAATTGTTTCTGACAACTAATTAAAATACGATGTATTACAACTCAATCAGAAGGGCGTTTTTCCACTATCACCATCAAACATGTCAATCGACACAAATATTACTGTAAGAACAGACCAATAGTGCTGTAAAATGATTGACATTAACAAGAAAAGACAAAAGTACAATGGTTCTTTCTGAATTGAAGCCAATTAAAGCTATTTTAAACGAATCACACTGTCTAAAATATAAGTTATACAAATGGAAAAATTAAACAAACCTTTTGCATTAAGAGAAAACATCTGTTGTCTAATTTCAGATGTAAACCAGTTCTGGCGATTTGTACTTGACTCGATGAGGAACCGGGGTCAAAGTTCCGGTCGAACCAGCTTCAGTGTCGTATACGACCCGTCCGGTAGACGGACAGTCACAACGTCCAGCTCCTCCAGTGATACCGGAAGTGGTTCTGGTATCCCTGGCAACATTGGATTCGGTACTGGTTTCCCCAGAAACACTGGAAGCAGTGCTGGTTTCCCTAGAAACACTGGAAGCAGTACTGGTTTCCCCAGAAACACTGGAAGCAGTGCTGGTTTCCCTAGAGACACTGGAAGTGGATCGGGTTTCCCTGGTTCCAGCGCCAGTACGGGCAGTTCAACAAACACAGAAAACCCACCCCCACCACCTCCAGCGCCCGCGTTCCCAAAACCCGCTATGCCAAAATCGAATCCGATCGTGAAAAGACCAACCATCCCAATGGATAGTATAATTGAGGTTAGTTTTCCTGAATGTAAGCATTGTTTTTTCTGAAGGTCCCTGACGTTGTTATAATCTACTTACCTTACATTTTGTAATCTTTGTTGTATTATAGTCAATTAAATAGTGTCTTTAGCATTTTATCTTAGAGTACAAAAGAGTTTTAAATAGTTATCAAAATTATGAACACTTCGATTTTTTTTGCACTTTTGTTTATATTTGTTTGTCGGAGTATTCTTATTTTACCTCTGTGTTTGGCATTCGTGAAAATATCCGAAAATCTTACATTCTTATAACATGTATGTGATGATCTGTGTATATGATGACAAAAACTGAGTAAATATTTAAATGAGACGGAATGCTATATACTTTTCAGAAGGCTAGTAATCTTTATTCAAGCCCGTATAAAATTGTCTAATGGCATAACCTCTGGTTTAATTACAGAATACTTGTACTAATGAGTATAAGGCGTTGGAGGGACACACACTATGTATGAGGGATGATTCTCGTGTAAGGGTCAGTGGGGTGTCGGAGGCTGACAAGAAAATGATAACCGATCTACACAATGATTACCGGTCTAAAGTTGAACCTCCTGCCACTGATCTCGTCACTCTGGTAAGATTATAACCTAATTAGCTAACAATTCTGTATTCTTATATATGATTTTGGTCTACTGTTCAACCAACACGGGTTTATGATTTGGTTTGGTTTGTTTGTGTTTTACGTCCTATTAACAGCTACGGTCATTGAAGGACGTGCCAGGTTTTGATGGTGGAGGAAAGCCGGAGTTCCCAAAGAAAAATCACCGACCTACGGCCAGTACCTGGCGACTCACAAACCCTTGATCCAGTGGTGGCGGGCTAGTGGTAGCAGAATGTCAGACGCCTCAATCACTCTGCCACCGCGGTCCCTGTACGGGTTTATGAGACACTGTCCGTATTACAAATACAGGGAATACTACCAGCCCAACTATGCAGCAAGATAAACATTTACTGTCGAATAAGATGCTTACGTGGACATTACTGCAGTGATGGATCAGTTACTGTATATTATTTAAAACACTCATTGTTTGGATACTATCTGTCCCGTTCCGGGGTACGACATTGCTTTTTCATTATTAAAAAAGAGTTAATAAAAAAATAATAATGCCTTAAACCCGTTCGAAACCCCCATGTCGTTGATGTAGTATGTAAATTCCATATACACTCTACGCTATCAATACTATTTTGACCATCCCCTAAACACACCCGGATGTTTATTGAATAACAGCCTGACATAGGTTGTTCTGCTAGGGGTACTAATGACGTGTAGTGTTGCCTCAGTCACACTGTAAAACCATATAACCCTCAACAGGCGACAGCCGTACTTTTTATACATCACACAACTTACTACGGACAATACAATGTTTGTTTTGTACTTAATAGAAATGGGACGAACGCCTGGCATCTGTGGCACAGAAATGGGCAAACCAATGTAAAGCTGGTCACGACAAAATGAGGAAAATACCATGTAAGTTGTATGGGGAAAACTGTGACCATATAGTCCGGGTAGGTGGGCATGTGTTGGTTGGGGTTACCTTGGGAATGGTAACGGTACATGTAACAATAAAATTACTATTTTCTAAAAGTGTCCGAGTTCCTACGTTTACCTTGCATTCGTTTTGATTATGTAAAAGAGATGTCCTTACGGGAATAATTTCAACAACTTAAGGGGATAGCTGTCATATATATATGGGGAACAACTATGATATGTAAACGAAAATGTCAATTGTAGGAGAGATAAAAGTGAGCTTTTAGGAAGATAACTGTGATATTTATAAATAAACTGGAGAATTGCAATAGTGTAGGCGGAAAACTGTGACAGGTTAGAGGAATAAATATCAGGGGGTGAGGAAGGGTCGTAACAACACTTTACATTAACGGCAGGATTGTCAGGTTTAAAAAAATCTTATAAAATTCTTCTCATAAAATTGAAGAGAACACAGGTTTTCTAACCATTACAATACAGATGTAATCGGAAATCACGCATCAACATCTGTATTAACATTATCGATATACAACAAACATCTATAAGGAAGTTTACTCTCCATTCTTTGGTATATGTTATGTTGTAAGTTTGACCAAACATACGCTGACTGCCTTTAGAACTGTACATTGGGTGGAGTTGTGCGTGACATAATCTCACTAAGTTATCACAATAGATATATGGGTGGGGTTGTGCGTGACATAATCTCACTAAGTTATCACAATAGATATATAACGTAAGACTTTTCCAATAAGAACACCTAAAGATCCAATCTCACTTATTTCGAAAGAATTCACACATACATCTTGTCCATTGGTCAGTATAATTGTTGACTGTCGTAAGGTGCCTCTTTTTAGCGATCGGGATGTCGGTTGGACAAAACGTGGCGGGGGGATACAACACGTGGGAGGAGTCGGTATTCCACTGGTATGACGAAATCCGCATGTGGAAGTACGGTGTAGATCCCGATTCCTATCTCGGCCACCTTGGCTGGAAAAAGATCGGTCACTTTACCCAGGTATGGCTTCTTGTAACGCACTTAATCTAGCATTGTTTTTTTTTTATATTTAGGCATGTACGCATACAGGTATATCGGTAAACATACTTAGTACTGGCTTCGTTATAGTTGATACAAGACGAATTATTAATGGTGCAGATTTAAAACAAAAAAAATAGATAGTACAATCACTTCAAAACTAATAATTTAGATGCTTTCAATAAAGCATTCTCCAATGATGACTCAGTGAGACTAACATTGGTTCTTCAGATTGTATACAAAATCAGTTGCTTAAGTTGATAAAATACCTTTTTAGAAGATGTTGCAGTCATTTTATTGAAAAGTTATTATTTAACTTTGATTTCATACAACCTAGTGCTTTCTTTTTTGTTCATTGTTTTGTTTCATGTGTTATATATAAGTAAACTTTGTTGACAGATGGTCCAGAACGCCACTTTCCTGGTCGGCTGTGGGTACGCTGAGTGTCGCCGGAGCCGTTATACCCGCTACTATGTCTGTGATTACGCGGCTGGGTAAGTTATTAATACTGCTTAAAATATTTAAATATTTTCTTTGCACAGGACCAAAATGTCTTCTTCATCAGTTATCAGAAGATGTTGCTTTTCATAAATCTGTTATGTGCGTTCGATCGTGAAACTTCATAAAATTATGTACATATGCTGTTATACTGCTGAGTCTGCAGTTCTCTGAGTTCCATTTATCACCTTATTGTTGTATCTAAACCGCATTGATACGGATTACTTTTTGAATAATTATCATTCTGCTGCCTTATTCGAGAAAATCGTGGACTCCCTTGGATTTTTAAGATTAACGATACTCTAGGTCCTCTCGAGGAAATCCAAACAGTGTAATACATTGCTTGGATATTTTGGATATTATCCGGTGGTTCCTGCAAGAATACAACATTACAGAATTTTCCCTGGAAAATATCATCTTTATCCGCATCCTTGTAGAGTTTTGTACTATTATCCTCAGAGTGAAAAGGTCTCCAATTTCCTCTTTGGTCATGTATTGTGTCCTTCTTCGCACTTGATTCGTGATCCTTCCGTCGACAGCTCCTTAATTATATTGCCTTTATTGTGAGGGAGGTTTGAGCTTGATCTATTAAGTGTGTCTTTGTTTATAAGGAACCATGCCTGGTTCTCCTAGATGTCTTTTTTATGATGTCGAAATGCACGTGCTTATCTACTATAAACTTATTAAATGTACACAGTGTTGACCAGTTCATAGCTATATCTTGTATGCTGCAGTAGTACCCCTCATCTTTTTCTTTTATACTCAACACATATCAGTACAATAGGACACACGCTCAGAACCAGCACTTTGCACCACAGTATGCACTAACAGCATGGTAAAGAACAGTTATATTTTGACAGTAAGTGGTTTTTATGCAATATTTTTATCAAATAAAACAAATTGATTTTTAGCCAATCAAACCTAGCCTATCCATACACTGCAGCTCGCCCCGGAAGTGGAGAAGGTCGTTGCTCGGTGTGCCCAAACACGTGTAACAAAGGCCAGTGTGGTAGGTATAGAAAGAGTAAATTTCAGGATATAAACGTATAATAGCTAAGTATAACATAAATATCTTTTCAAAATGAGTTCTACACTAAGAAATATATACAATATATAAACAATATCGATTTTGAAAAAAAAAAAACCATAAAAAAAATGACAACATAATGAAAAAATATAATCGCTTTTGTCTGCTTGTTCACGATCCGGAAATCGAATATAAATTGGAAAGTGTAGGCAGTGCAAATTATTCGAAATAGTTCATGGGATATAACTCTTACAAGTAGTTTATAACCTGTACATAAAACAGGAAGTTTAGTACGCAAATGTATTACAATATATATATATTATTTCAAATTAAGTTTATGTGAACCAATCGAGTTGTTTCAACAATGTAGAACGTCATTTCATTTATACGATTATCTCGAACATGATGTTTAAGGAATTTAAGGTGTATGTTCACGATTTTTTTTAAATTGACACCAAGTCATAAGAAGCAATAGAGAAACCAAACCAAAGGTTATCTGTTGCTAATTTTCAGATTGTAAAGGACTTGTGTGTTTGAATGGCGGAAAACTAGATCCTAATTCGTGCACATGTACATGCACGAAACTGTACGAAGGGAAAACATGTGAACAATGTAAGTACCAACTCGGTTTGTCGTTCATGTATTCCGTATTAGTTAACGTTAGTCAATTGTCATTAAGGAAGGCAATTTTTTTTTATATGATATATCAAATATAGTATCCGTTATATATAATTTCCATCAATTTTGATAAACAGAAATTTATTTAAATATGCAAAAAATGGATAAATGATATTTATAGTCCAGTTTACATTGTGTTGGTCAAACATGTTCACTGATATGCTATTTATATAACAATTCGCTGAAATGCCGTAATTTTCTCTGTGTTAAGTGGTATGCCCGGCCAAAGACAAGTGGATTTGTCGCCGAGACTGGCCAGAGAGCTACTGTGACGCATATACCAATGTTCCCGAGGAGTGCCCACACATGTGCGGCATCTGCAAATGTGAGTACAGCCGCCAAGTGGCTCCACATTTTTACTCAGAAACCATTGATTTGTAAAATGTCACCTAATAATTTCCAAATAATTTAATAAATCTACTTCGTTGTTAGCATTCGTAATTATACTAATGAGTGTTTTGGAACGACCGGTAAATATAAAAAATAACACACACAACACAGTATTTCTTAAATTAAATGCAAACTATTCTGCTTTAATTTTCCGGAATTTTACAAAAAAGTATTTGGTTGTGGTTTGATCGGGTTTAACATCTTTAAAACAGCTAATCTCATTTAAGGACGCGCACAGATAGAATCAAATGAGAAAGTCTAGCCATGTGTTTGTTGTCGTTTCAGCGGTGACCGGAAGTACGTCAAGCAGTCCGGAAGTGACCTACGTGTCGTCATCTGGATGCCAATATCAGGGCGTGCGATCCACTCTAGGTATATTTGATTAATTATTTCAGGACGAGTTTACATTTACTGCGTAATTGCTCAGTATCATCTAATGAATAAGTTTGTATAAATAAACAGTACCAGTAGTCTGATCACAGGTTAGAACATCCTTGTTTGTTACTAGTGAGTTCCTATCACTTGTGTGTTGCTTTCCTAACGTACATCCGATAATATTTCACAACTCATGACAATATTTCACAACTCATGACAATATTTCACAACTCGGAAATTTTCATTGTAATTAAGTTCTTGCTAGAACATGAGTCATATACATATTTTCATACAACCTGTTAAATTAGTTTACATTTGTCTTAATTGACTAAGCTAAATTATGACTGATATTGATTGACATTAGTACAGAGGTTTAACAATTAAATACAAAATAATATAAAAAGAAAGATAAACTCCTTGTTGGTTGGCTGCTACTGTCAAACAGAAAGATTGAATATGATAATATAACATATAAAAAAACAATTTGAATTGATTTGAATAACTGTTTGTTGTATTTTCAATAGATGAATGTAAGGCCTATGGCAGAGGCGGAGATGACATCCACGCATGTGCAACCAAGGGTGGGAATATCACGTGTACCGACTGCGATAAGTACTACAACGTCAAGCGTGACATGTGCCCGGTCATGTGTGGCCTTTGTGATCGTAAGTGTCACGGTCGAAAAGCACCTATATTCCTGTTGACTATTAGAATCTCGAGTAATATTACCAGATCAAATCTATTTCTCTATTTATTTTACTGCCAACTGCCGATACCCTATACTTTCCTGCAATTCTGAGGATTGTTTTAATCACACCTTTTCCCCCATAATTTTCAAGCTGAGTAAGCGATGACGATGTAATTAAACTGAATGTTGGGAACTTTATTTCTATACTAGCAAAATGAAAATGTCCAGAAAATGAGAAAAGGCAGACAATTAGGCCACTTCGTCGGTGTGTTGACACCTGGGCATAAAAAATATGATTCATAACTTTGCTTTGCAGCTCAGTGTAACGGGAAGGAATGTAGAAATGGCGGAACACTCGACACGGTGACCTGTTCATGCAGTTGTCAGCCTCCGTATGAAGGAGACATGTGTGAAACAGGTATGTTGACGTGGTCATACCTATGTATTTATATCAGCAACGCTGGCTTAACAAAACTTACAGGCTTTCTTAGTTCGGATTCACAATTTATTTGGTAACATAGCTTGTTTGGTTTTAAAGTTTGTTTTATGCAAAAAACTTTTTGTCTATCTCAGTTTGTATGTTTTTTGTAATTTCTTTTATCTAAATCTATGATTTCAAATTTTCTTTGGTTTAATACAGTTTTGTTATTTCGTGGTCACTACTCCTGTTCTCGTTTTGAGAACGTAGCATTACTCGGATTTCATCAAGATTAAAATTGCGGTACTCATTTCGCATGAGATTCCATTTAATATGACATTATGAAATAAACTTGGAAGGTTTAATTTAAGGATTGTAGATTTTAACAGGACACCTAGATTTTATCAAAGTTGTCGGGGTTCGCCCATTTATGTTTGCTTTCTATGGCATCATCTCTTCCTATTTTCTTTATGGTAACGTTTCCTCTCATGTAATCAGTGAATTCCGACATTTTATTTCACATTCAAAATGCCGTTTTTTAACTTATCGTAGTATTGAAAAAATAAATTGCTTTCCATGCATATCGCTAGGCATCTTGAACAAATCAAACAGCAACAAAGTGCCATGTAATTCAACACAAAGAGATTCTTTTTTTCGTGATAGCGAAGTTCGACTATATCTGTCGTGCTATATTATATGCTGTTCTCAAGAAACCACTTAATATCTGATAGGTTATGATACATTGACGATAATTTGTCTATCTTTTGACAATGACCTGTGTTTTTTCTGGAAATCAGAGCCCCTCTTTGTGTCCAAGAACACAGAAGTTAACGCCCTCTTTATACACATTTAATTGTTCCCCAGATAGAGAGAGAATAACTTTACTTCCATAAAAGAAATATTTGTTTTCTTTCTGGACAGTGGACTGTGCTATTCCAGACATGCCTCACTGTCCCTACTGGAGCGTGGGACACTGTCGACAGTACAGAAACGTACCCTCAGACTGTCGCCATATGTGTGAGCTTTGTCGCTAGCATGCACCTTAGGTAAGCTAAAAGTGTCCCGTTATGGAGTAATCACAATTTGTGATGTTATTACCAAGGTCTTGTATTTTAAAGAACAACAACTTTATTTCGACGATAATACCTCACAGAATTGAAAAATATTTTAATAAGATTTATGATAGCTATTTGTTTAATGTCTAATATCCTAACCCTGCACGCTCCAAGAAAAACGGAATTGCAATATTACATCTATTCCTCATTTATCTACTACTGATGAGCGGGATATTGATCTTAGTTAATTTAGTCTGGTCTTTGTTTACAGGTGACAACACAGACGAAATCCTGTACAGAACTGACTCGGAGTCACAGCTTTACCAGCTAACACTTATAAGGTCATATCACGTGATCACTCTTTAACTTACTGGCTGACCTGTTCAATACGACACTTGGCACGCCTGTGATAAACTAACAAGTAACATTTGACATAGGGAAGCTTTAGCAAAGAATTATACTTGGTCATTCCTACAAAGCGTCAAAGTCTGTGATAGTATTCCGACAAAGACACAAGCAACTGTCACAATATTGTATGTCATAAAATGACAGAAAAAAATCAAAAGCACATTTCCTCGTTGGTTCAGTCATGTTGTTAAAAATATAGACATATCCCAATGATAGTTCCAATTTGTTACATAACTTAAATAAATTATTCTTATATAACAGGAAACGCACCGATCGGATGACGATAGCTTCAACTCATGACTCGCACCTCACAAACATAACGACCTACTATATATTCACCGTCCTGTATATCAAGTGAGATATTGTTTCGTTAAAACGTTAGTTTAAAAGTTTGACGATATGTCGCAAACTGAAACTAGTCGACTTAGAAGAAGTCTTATGTTCATGTATAAATGTAAATATGATATTAGGCACTTGTATTTAAAATTCTGTGCTCATCTACGTTATCCAGAAAAAAAGCACATCGGTTTTATCTTAAGAAGTGAAGACCCATGTTGCTGGAAACCCTCGTAAACACGGACCAAGAAAATTCGAAAGACGATTTCGTATTCAGAAAACGCCTTTGTAGATTGAAATGTTTGGAACTGGATTTACTGTTCACAGAAGTGCGTTTAACTGGATTAAACTTTGATAGAGAGAGTAATGAAATAGCACACGCCAACAGTACTCATGAGTAACTAGAAACTATTTTAGTTACCCTTAGTACTGAAAAAGGCTGATGAGTTTAAACATGTATATATCATGTATCCATAACAATAAATTATTATACTGCCAAATATTGTGTTTGTTTTTGTATAGTTGTTATTTTGGATGCATTAATAACAAGAGGCCCAAGGGCCTTAGCGGCGGTCACCTGAGTTATATCATAGGTACTGGTAGCTTTATTTTGTTTAGATGTGATGTGGAAATCAGCATGTAAACTAAGTGAAATACAATACTTGTCATATCATCAAAGGATAAGAATTTGAACATATTGGTAAATGTTCCATTTGGGGCCCCGCCCTAGCCCCTGGGGATGGGGTAGGAATTCAAATTCTACTATGTAATACCCTCATTCACCAAAGATGATTCTGACTAAGTTTGAGTAATTTTCTGCTGAAAATGGATAAATATACCCAAAAGTGTTATTTCCCTATATAAACTATAGCAAACTTTACCCCCTCCCATAGGGAGAACGGATAGCTCAGGGGTCCTGCAATTTGACTATCTTTCTTTTCATGTACTGAAATTGAATGTTGTACCTCTAAGTCTGGAGAAAAAGATTTTTGAAATATTGGTTAATTTTCCCTTTGGGCCCCGCCCTGGTACCCTAGGGTTGGGGTAGGAATGTCAATTTTACAATTTGAAACCATCTTCCTCCAAGGATAAATTCTCACCAAATAAAAATAATTTCCTACAGAAAGTTGTCAAAATATACCCAAAAGTGTTATGTCCCTATATAAACTAAAGCAAATTTTACCCAATCCCTCCCCAAGGGAGAACGAATAACTCGGAGGTCCTTAAATTTACAACTTAAATAAAGCCCCTGATGATCTTTCTTTCCATGCAGAGAAAATCACTGTAGTACCTCTGAGTCTGGAGAAGAAGATTTTTGAAATATTTCCCTTTGGGGCCCGCCTTGGCCCCAGGGGTTGGGGTAGGAATCCTAATTTTACAATTTTGTAGCCTCATCTATCACGGATGATTCTGACCAAGTTTGAAGCTTGAGGAGAAGTTGAAAATGTAAAAAGGTTACGCACGACGGACGACGGACGCCGACGGACGGAAAGCGACTAAAATAGGTCACTTGAGCAAAGTTCAGGTAACCTAAAAAGGAAATCTAACAGATCCGTATAAGCAATCTCACACAAATGTTTTTTCAAGTTTCTTCAAAACTTTTTTAATGGCTCTTTGTATAATGTAGGAGACACGGTAGTCGAGTGATAGGACGCTGGGCTCGTGACCGAAGGGTTGCGGGTTCAAGTCACGGCACGGCACTGTATTGTATCTTTGAGCAAGATACTTTACTCCGCTTGTTTCAGTCTACTCAGCTGTAAATGAGTACGTGGTTGGATAGTGCTAGAATTGTAGAATGCTAGCTGTGAGCGCCGCAATGGAAGCACCGGCTGTATACTCCCCAGGGAGCTGAGAAAGATATTGTCTGGTTGCAAAGGCCCTATAACCACGGTTAATAATTTGTGAACCGCTTTGAGACGACCTACGAACTAGGTTGTGATAAAGCGGTATATAAGAACCACGAATTATCAATATTATTATTATTGTTTGTGAAGATAAAACTAATGACTGACCAGAGAATGTTTAACTTTTGCTACCTATCTCGGGGGAGCATTCAACATGGTGTACGTAGGTACAGAATCCTCCATTTGCTTTTCCTAGGGAAGGACAGGAAGCTTAGTAAGGTCCCTATACAAATTGTATATCAACATACTATATTTTACACTCATAAGAAAGTTTTAAGCGGCGTTCAAATGTCTACAAACTTCCCTTGCCATTAAAAAGACATCACATATAAACACACTTGATTTACATGAAAAATAATATACTTTGATTTTGACAAAGGTCTGTTTTTGGTTCTGCTCATTAGAATGCCTTATGGTTTTGTTCAGTTCTCAGTGCGAGTACGTGACTTTGGATTTGTCCTAGATTTACATGGCGAGTGTCGTCGAAGAAACAGAGGTCTCTTACCATTCCGAAGAGCTTTGTCTCATTCTCTTAATCGTTTTTAAATGGTCTCAATGTTAATATTTCATTTGATTATTGTTTGCCCTCGGTTTGTTGTTTTTAGTTCTTAATACGGTTTTGTTGACATTATAACATATGCTTATGCTTCTATGTACAACACTGGCTTTAGGAAGATAGAGGTACGTGAAGAATATGGTCAAAGTTTATCGTTTCAATTGGACATATGCGTTTTCGTCGTGTGCTATGAAGGGGAGTGTTTTGATCATGGTGATTAGTGTGTCTCTATTTTGATGTCATTACCTCCGTCTAGGTTTACACGTCAGTGAAACAGAAGACCCGTTCCCTTGCATACAGGCAATAGTGTCTTACTTCTCTTGTACGTTGTGAAGCGTCTTTAAGTAAACTTTTCTTTTGTTCATATTTTGCACAAGCGTTATACATTTTAAGTTGTGCTACTTGTAACATTCCCAAGACATTAGTTTTGTACAGCCATGCAGATTTTATAATCAACGCTATGTCTTATAGTCACAAGGCATATTTGTACGCATTTCAGAGATCGACATGTTATATTTTGCAATCTCAAGATATTTTGTGTGGACCTCATATGATTTGTAATGTCTTAAAGTTGACCTGTACCCTAGGGCCCTGACAGTACATTTTGCATAAAAACACATGGTATAGAGAATGATTCTCTTAATAGATATGTCGTTCATCGATAAATACAGGATTTCTCTCACTGATCGTTGTTTCAAATATCCAAACAGAATGTTGCTAGATGTAATAACAAGGTTAAAAACGTGGGTATCTAGCATACCCTGCTGTAATTGTGTGTTGGTTTTACGGGACAATGAAATAGGGAATAACAAACGCGATGGAAACATTTTCACTGAAATATTGAAACGTTGTATGATGTTAAGAAGATATTTAATGAAAATGCAATCACAAAAACAACAAACTGCATCATGTAGTCAACTTGCCTTTTACAATGTATGGACATCAACAAACGGCATCATGTAGTCAACTTGCCTTTGACAATGTATGAACATCAACAAACTACATCATGTAGTCAACTTGCCTTTTACAATATATGAACATCAACAAACTGCATCAGGTAGTCAACTTGCCTATTACAATGTATGGACATCGACAAACTGCATCATGTAGTCAACTGGCCTTTTACAATGGATGGACATCAACAAACTGCATCATGAAGTCAACTTGCCTTTTACAATGTATGAACATCAACAAACTGCATCAGGTAGTCAACTTGCCTATTACAATGTATGGACATCAACAAACTGCATCATGTAGTCAACTTGCCTTTTACAATATATGAACATCAACAAACTGCATCATGTAGTCAACATGCCTTTTACAATGTATGGACATCAACAAACTGCATCATGTAATCATGCCTTTTACATTGTATGGACATTTATACCAAATGGTAAAATAATTACCAGAACTATGAAGAAAAGAAGCATCTATTTCAAAAGTTCGGCGTTGTTCACAAAGCAAAGTAATGCAAACAGACATTGTATCCATTGTTGACCCATGAGTGGTATAAAAGGTAGAAAAATAGAAAGAAAAGTCTATGTCTTCAGGTTCCGAAACATTACATGGAGATTATAGGGAAAGTAAATGAAAACAGGACACAATACATTTACTTGTCCTTACACTGGTATTTCATGTGAACATTGCTAGAAAGAGTACAAGAGTAAGAACAACCTCTAGAACTGGTTCCTCACACAATGGGTCACCTTAGTAACAATCGGCAGTCCTCACTTCAAACTAGTGTTTGTAGATAGAGAAAACAATACAAAATATACATTTTACTGAGCTGGTTTACTATTTCATCTAGTAAGGATTAATCAGTGGTACAAAAACAAAAGAATATGAAAAAGTCCTGTTCCTAATGTTCCAAACCTTATGTAGGATACAGCGAAAGGGAAATATTATGAGTATCACGATACCATTAGTGTCCTTCTTGTGAATTATATACAACTCAGACTCGCGGTTCTATATCAGCAGTGTTGCAGAGCTATTCCTACTGAATGTGTAACGTTTTAGAGTTGCTATTCGTATTAAATATTTCTGTCAACTGATAGCAGTTTAATGTATCGTTATCAATTACATTTATCTGAAACTATATGTCATAGGAAAATATGCCGAAAACAAAATACAATTTCTATCGAATAAAATGCATAAAAATTTGCATGGCATTCCGCTGTGGAAACTATCCAAACACCAATGACAAACGGTGCTACAAGTATTTTTACCCAATGGTTGACGCAATGAATATTTTCACGTCACCATGATACTGTAATATCTAAACATATTATTTGAATAGATATGTTACGCTTGTATATATCGTAAAGGCACGAGGCGATTTGAAATTAATTTTGTTTTAAATGTTAATATAATAAATGTATTTGGAACTAATTGAACAGCTAATTGACGCCAACAACCAGACGATTTGATGATAATTTCCGTTTCGTTTCTGTGAAATCACTTCAGTAGATTTTGTTTTAAACAACACTTTTATTTTCAAAATGCCTGCAATGACAGGCATATCGAATTACTTCAAATCCGCTTCAAAACAAAAAATTGTAATTCAAAAATACCAGAATCGGTCATGACTACGTGTTGATCAATCAAATTTAGTTTGGGCAAAAATCGATTCCATAAAATTTGACTTAAAATGCTAATTATACATTCAAATTGACTGCCATATTTGACTTAAAATTGTTTTCAAATAACAAAAAATGGTTACGATTATGCACTGATTATTCCCTCTAAGGTTCTGAGAATGGGTTCGGCAGATCTTTAGTCAAAATTTAAAATACGATATAATCGAAGATGTATTAAGCACATATTTTTTATGATTTGCATAATCTAAATTCGTATTTTTAAATGATCTTTTTTTGTAATGAGTTTTTGTTGGTTGTGGTCCCATGCGAGATTGGCCATGTTATCATTTAGCTAGATTTTGTTTACATGAATAACTTAATGTTTTAAGTACGTCTCATTATGAAGTGTTTTGTAGGTACATTTTCCTTTTACTGCGTTTATAATGTGTTTTGGATCATTTCAGACATCAGTTTTTATTGTTTTGGCTTTAAATACCACTGGTGAGTCCAAAAATAACATTAAAAACAATATGGCACAGGAAATGTTTTATTTGCTTACTGTATTATTACACTAAATCTGGTTCTTCCTTTTCATTTCCTAAATGAAAACATAAATTCTTAAGTATCAAATTTCGAAGTTCCAGCTCAAAACTTATTGTTTCATCGTCCAGCTGACAGCTAAGTTGTTTTGGGACGTTCATTTTGACAGATGTATCAGACGACAGTGGAACGTTCGTTAACGCTGAGGTGTGGACTTTTTTTAAAATATTAATTTACAGCATGCAAATTATGTATCAATAGTACATAAATAACACAGAAATTTTCATTTATTTGTGTTAAAATTCAAGTTTACTTTAAGATGCAGCTAATAAGCATCTAGGTCGGTCGTTCCGAGTGAGTAGTTTTTGTAGTGTATTACTACGCAGTGTGATCAGGTTACTATGTTTGACACCAGTTCCCACGTGCTGAGATTCTATGAACACCTGTGTTATGCATTTATGAATGTAATTGTTGTCAATGGGTCTAAGCATACAGAACGTAAATATTATAAAATATTTGTAAAAATCTTAACAAGTATGAAAAGAGGCCAAAGGGCCTTAGCGGTCACCTGAGTTATATCATAGGTACTGGTAGCTTTATTTTATTGTTTAGATGTGATGTGGAAATCAGCATGTAAACTAAGTGAAATACAATACTTGTCATGTCATCAAAGGATAAGAATTTTAAAATATTTGTAAATGTTCCCTTTGGGGCCCCGCTCTAACCCCTGTGAATGGGGCAGGAATTCCAAGTTTACAATTTGATACCGTCATCCACCAAAGATGATTCTGACCAGGTAAAAATAATTTCCAACAGAAAATTGTCAAAATATACCCAAAAGTGTTGTTTACCTAGATATAAACTATAGTAAACTTTACCCCCTCCCCAAGGGAGAACGGATAGCTCGGGGGTCCTGAAATTTACAATTTAAATAAAGCCCCTGATGATCTTTCCACCCATGCATAGAAAATGACAAGTACAGGACTCTGAGTCTGGGAGAAAAGATTTTTGAAAAATTGGTTAAATTTCCCTTTGGGGCCCCGCCCTGGCCCCTAGGGTTGGGGTAGGAATCCCAATTTTACAATTTAAAACCATCTTCCTTCAGGGATAATTCTCACCAAGTAAGAATAATTTCCAACAGAAAATTGTCAAAATATACCCAAAAGTGTTGTTTCCCAATATAAACTATAGTAAACTTTACCCCCTCCCCAAGGGAGAACGGATAGCTCGGGGGTCCTGAAATTTACAATTTAAATAAAGCCCCTGATGATCTTTCCATCCATGCAGAGAAAATGACTGTAATACCTCTGGGTCTGGAGAAGAAGATTTTTGAAATATTGGTTAATTTTCCCTTTTGGGCCCCGCCCTGGCCCCTAGGGTTGGGGTAGGAATCCCAATTTTACAATTTTGTAATGTCCGGTTTAATGTCAAAGTACTGTGTGAAGAAATTAACATGGAGTAATAATATACAGGAATATAATAAAAGATGTTTAGAATACAGGTACATGTATAGACAGGTTCCATCTCACGTTATACATAGGAATATGTCCCATTAAACAATGTTGAAAGTTCAGCCTTTAATGTTCAATTAGGACTACACTCTCTGCACGCATTGTGGGGACCAACATCTCAATTATCATTTCTTGCTTCTAAATATCCTACCAGCAATATCGTTTTTATATAGCTGAATCTGGATAATCCGGTCCATCCTCCATAAACCGGGATCACATAACCTAATGTGGAATGTACATTACCACCCCCTGCATCACGTAACCGGATGTTTAATGTACATTACCACCCCATGCATCACGTAACCCGATGTGGAATGTACATTACTAAATGAGAATCAACATCTTCCTAGTTTTATATCTTTAATCATAAGAGTGACTGATACCTGAAATGTGTATATACACAGTTCAATAGTAAATGATTAGTTATCTCCTCCCCGGGGACAAGTTTTTTAGAGAGTATACGAAGAAAACTTCAAACAAATTAAGAATAATGTTGAAAGCCTATGACGAACCCCCCAGGCCTTTAAAAACTCTTGAGTCTTTCCCGCTGTGAACTGTGGGCCTCCATCGGACGTCAAATCTTCTGGGATGCCAAATGTCACAAACGTCTCACGAAGTCGCTTAACAAGTCCCTCTGCACCTGATTCTGACTTATATACCATTGGCCAGTTTGAATACCCGTCAACAATAACTACATAGTCTTTATTGTTATATGTGAAGTAGTCGCTGCAAATCATCTGAAATGGGATATCTGGAGGAGTTGTGTCAGATGGGGGCTGCATAGGGTTTGACTTCGCTATCTGATGGCAGTGAACACACTGGTCTCTCACCCTGGCGTGTACATTGATACTTGGTCCAGGAATCACAGTGTAGAATAAACGAGATCAACGTCTTCAATCTTCAATCAATTCAACCTAACAAAGCACAAAAAGAGGACTATGATTTATTTTATTACAAAAGGCAAAGTTTTCTAATCCAATGACTAAGGTCAAAGGTCAAAGCATAGGTAACAGCAATTTATTTCGCATACTCTCAGACATGGAGGTGATTTAATTGCTTTTAAAAATCAGGTTGTTTAAGGTGAAAAAGTATAGACGTCAAGCCATGGACAAACGTGTTCAAAGGTACAGGTCAAAAGTTAATGATAAATTAATTTGATAAAAGATCTATGAAGATTTTCTTGACAAATAGCGACCGCAAGGACTAGAGACAACCAACGTATGAAGTATGTTATACAAAAGAATATTTCAACCGCCTGGGTGAGATAGGGAAATCTCAATCCGAGGGGGAAGACTCTTAAGTAAAGGCTTTTTAAGAATCTTCCCCGATGGTTGAGATCTCACCTCAAGGCAGTAAATGATTCGTTCTAACCCTGTCGACCCATTTAAATACATGTATTGCAATGATGACATTACAGGCTTAAATCTTTATGTCGTGACGTTAATACATTGATTTTGTGACGTAACACAATTGTTTAACGGTAGAATTATCCCGTCTCAACCTGAGGGTGAAACAAATATATCACAAACCGAGGAAACTGGTGTATTTGTATGTCTGCTTTCCAATTAATCTAACTGCTACCGGATAGTATTGCTGGTAGGTTGTGTTGCACCAGGTCTCTGGAGACTATTGATGCTTTGAGGGTATTCTATCTGTTGTGTGCTCCTGTTGTAGGATGCATGATACAGCCGACGTTCTCTTCGGATGGCGTCTTGTGGTATTGATCGCGAGTCACACTGATTGCTTAAAACCTGTCTGCAGTTGTAATCCTCCGTGTTAGGCTGGTTAATCATTTCCCCGTTGTGGCCTGTTTGCAGCATTAGAAAACAACAATGATTTATACAAATAGAGTTAAACAAATGCCTAGCATATAGTAGTCCGAATTATTCTGACGTTTCATCGACTTTTTTCATATCGGTCTGTCGTCGATTAACGTCAGAACTCCGGCCCTCTATAATATGCGGGAAATATGCGACCCGCGCTTGGAGCGCACTTCCAACTGATATTTTAGAAACAAATCGTCACTTTCACACACATGTCGCACATGGGTCGAAAGATCTATTCTATATGCACTAGGTGGTATCAATAACATGTTTCAAAGATCATTACGAAAAGTATTTTCCAACGTTTTCTATACCAACCCATGTTTTTAATGGAAATTAGGCCATGAGCAATGTCACATGACTTGACGAGATCTCGCGTTACCGAAGGTATTTTCCAACATTATGACGTAGGCCGGCGAGATTTAAGTCACGTGGCATTAGAAGGCGGGGCTATCAAAAAACTAGAGTAAAACAGAGTAGGTTTGAAAAAATGTGTTTTTAGTGATTGTATTGGTTGTTTGAGGCATGTTATGTATGTTCATCTTGTGCATAAAGAATAGATCTTTCGATCCATGTGCGACATGTGTGTGAAAGTGACGATTTGTTTCTAAAATATCAGTTTGAAGTGCGACCCGAGCGCGGGTCGCATATTTCCCGCATATTATAGAGGGCCGGAGTTCTGACGTTAATCGACGACAGACCTATATGAAAAAAGTCGATAAAACGTCAGAATAATTCGGACTAAGCATATAGAGGCATGAAACAGTTGAATTATAGACGTATTTATTTTCCATCTTTAAATTTAAACTGAATGTATCAGCTAAAGTATGTAATTTGATGAAATATATATTGATCAAGGTCAGAAGTAAAGTATATTAGATAGGGAACAATTAAAACAATGTATATATGTATCTACCAGTGAAGTTCGATTCATTGCTCTGCGTCCAACTACAATGTGTACCTTAATACTATAGCCATGACACCCCTGAACAGTGCTACTGATATACAAGTACGTCTTTACCTATCATACAAGACTTAATGAGCCTGACCTCTAAACATAATCGAATGGCGAACTGAGGCTGTGGGGTTCAGTCGATATTCATATACGTTTTTTTATAATTATTTTTCTATTTTTTTCTATTATAGTCCTTATATTAACCAGGATATGAATTCACATTAAATTATAACTACTTTGATCTCGGTTCAAGAGTCCTTCATAGGAACGACTGCAAGTAATGTCATATGGAGTGTACGAACCTGGAAAATAAAACAAGCATGTGTTTATATTTGTCTTAAACGGCAGGCTAGTGGTTAAGCTTTTGATAAGGAAAACAGACTAATAATCACCACTACTAATTTAGTAGCTACGTTATCATTTGTTTATATATACAACATGTTAATATGACAGAGAGCCAAACTAGCATTTATTTCTCCATGTCACATTTCAGTTATGACTGGCACGTAAAACTGACCTAAATGGCAAGTAAATGAAGCTCTATATTTTAACTGATTTAAAACAGGCTTAAATACAAAGGTTTATAAATTAGAATACTTCGGGGTACCATAATGGTATAACTATACCAAGAGATACGTACTATTGCGATTGTCTTGTTATCGTGTGTACCATATAGGTATAACTACGCCAAGAGATACGTACCATAGCGATTGTCTTGTTATCGTGTGTACCATATAGGTATAACTACACCAAGAAATACGTACCATAGCGATTGTCTCGTCATCGTGTGTACCATATAGGTATAACTACACCAAGAGATACGTACCATCGACGGCTGTCTCCCTACCAACTTTCAACGGATAGGTCTCTTCATCAACAGTACTACTGGAAAAATCTGAAATAAGAGACAAATATACGGATAAATACAATAATGCTCGAATAAACAAAAAGGACACAGGAACGTGTTAACATTGTGGCGGTGGTATAATTTTAGCATTATATCTGATGCGCTGTAGTATAAACAGTGTTAACATCAGAATACATACTGTCTGAAACAGCTGACATATCTATACTTTGCTACCCACCATTTGAGAGCAGTTCGTCACTGTAGAGTCCTACCGATATATCGTATCTTTGATTCCTACCATTTGAGGTCCACACATCACTGTCAAATGCAGCATATACAACTCTACGTTCTAACTCTCGAATCCAATCCGACGTGACTTTACGCGCTTACTTATCATTGGTTACCGACTTTCAACTCCCGAATCCAGCCGACATACCTGTTCTACAACTGAAGACAAGGTCCTCATTATATAATTCCTACTAACATATCGTCACTGACTGTTGAAAACAACACAGACATAGTAGTTATATGGGTACCTACTGCTAATTAACGACTTCCCCAATATATCCATTTCCCGAGACTTTCCATTACCACCATATCTTCTACCTGAAAAAAACCAACAGGTATAAATATGCATAGATCTAAATATAAGTTTCATAAGTAAAAATGACAGTATTGATCCAATATTGGCAATTCATCCAAACAAACAAATGTTGGTTGGATGCGTATTACTTATATAGACATATGGGCAAAGAGTAAAAACAACAGTGCACACAAAGACATTTGACAAATTTCCAGGGCGATCCGCCCCTTTATCAAGTCAGGAACATGAAAATTTACAAATCACAACATAAACCGAAGACAAACAGTCACCATGGAAGGGGTGACCTCAAAACCCCTCAGTTAGCGTGTACCTGAAGGCTAATTATTGTAAAAAAATCATTTTGACTACGTTAGGTCAAATAAATAAATAACAAAAATCTGAATAAATGTAGTGAAAATCTTTTGTGGTGGTTGTTCGTGTAAACACGGCGTGAAAAAAACGAGGTGTATATGTACGTCAAAATTGCGGAAGGGGTCATCCCCAATCGACCAAGTAGAAAACTGAGGTCAAAGAGGGACAATGTGGGGTTAATGCTACACAAACTGGATACAAGTTACTTGTTTTGAATACGAATTAATATCTTAGTTAGATGAAAAAGCACAAGAACCGCACTAAACATTTGTACCGCAAATTTCGTCATCCAAATTCAAATTCAAATTCAAAAACAATTGCGTCTACAGAAGCTCGCCCCCAAAGGACCACAGACAAATCCGTCCACAAATAAGTCGCCCCAAATAGTAGAAAAAAGCATAATAGAAAAAAAGAAGATAAACATCTTTATATCAAGTAAAGATAAATTGCAGAGTAGTAAACGTTAACGGTTTAACATAAAATGTGAAGCGAGGGTGATAAAAGCAATTTCTGCAGGGCCCCCAAATGAGTCTCCTCAAGGGGTCAAGTTAAGGGTACAGGCAGTGAGTCAGCAAGCCTGTAATTCCTGTAAGGCCCCCTCATAATAATAATAATAATAATATACAACATTTATATAGCGCCCTATATAATTTGTAAACTTACTCAAAAGCGCTTTACAACATATGAATAATAGTAATAGTTATAATTGTAGAACAAAAACAAAGGCAGTGAGCCAGCACTCCTGCAATCTCTGCAGGGGCTCTGCACTAGAAATCCTACTGATATATTGGTACTTCGTTTCCTACTATGGGATGTCCTCTCGCCGATTGTGGAGTCTAACATTTATATACTTGATATTGTTGTACCTACCGCTGGATCTCAAATCATTGTGAGGTCTAATATCTATATACTTGATATTGTTGTACCTACCGCTCGATCTCAAATCATTGTGAGGTCTAATATCTATATACTTGATATTGTTGTACCTACCGCTGGATCTTAAATCATTGTGAGGTCTAATAACTATATACTTGCTATTGTTGTACCTATCGCTGGATCTCAAATCATTGTGAGGTCTAATAACTATATACTCGATAGTGTTGTACCTACCGCTGGATCTCAAATCATTGTGAGGTCTAATAACGATATACTTGATATTGTTGTATCTACCGCTGGATCTCAAATCATTGTGAGGTCTAATAACTATATACTTGATATTGTTGTACCTACCGGTGGATCTCAAATCATTATGAGGTCTAATAACTATATACTTGATATTGTTGTATCTACCGCTGGATCTTAAATCATTGTGAGGTCTAATAACTATATACCTGATATTGTTGTACCTACCGCTGGATCTTAAATCATTGTGAGGTCTAATAACTATATACCTGATATTGTTGTACCTACCGCTGGATCTCAAATCATTATGAGGTCTAACAACTATATACTTGATATTGTTGTACCTACCGCTGGATCTCAAATCATTGTGAGGTCTAATAACTATATACTTGCTATTGTTGTACCTACCGCTGGATCTCAAATCAAGGTGAGGTTTTAATGGCTTTGTTTCATCAGGATCTTTACTGTCACTTTCAGTACCTGCAAAAAACCCCAGGGAAATAAATAATATCATATATAAGACACTGGAATACTTAAATTACCTTCATTTCACCAACTTTAACTCCGACACTGTCACAACACATGTCTTATTTTGTGGTTTAAGGTTACGAATAATGTCATATGTATGATTCAATGTCACAAATAAGATCACATTTATGGATCAAGGTCACAAATAAGATCATATATATGGATCAAGGTCACAAATAAGATCACATTTATGGATCAAGGTCACAAATCATATGGAGACCAGCTAGTCATTACGAAGTCCTTCTGATTTACCAGTAGTCTATACCTACCATACAATACTGGGTCGTCACTGTCGTGTTCCTTATATAGACATATGTACTTTTGAACTAATAATCGGATACCGCCCTGCGACTGCAGATATCAGTCGACAAACATATACAATTTTTTTATATTTAAGACCAGATGGTCACGGTAAATCCTTCTGATATATTAATACTTTATCCCTGTCGTTAGAGGTCGACCTTTCATGTTGATTCTCCCACCCTTCACATGCGTGTCTCTCGTTTCCCCCGGGAAAGATCAGCTTGTCACCCTTAGGGGGATAGCCTCCTGCCGATTACCACGTGTTCAAATGTGACGTCATTAAAATGCACCACCAGTGTAATTGTGACATCATCAAAAGTGAATGACGATATTCATTCTCCATGTGTTTTTGTTCACAAACTTACGAGACTACTGTCGGAGGAATAGTAACTGAAATAATAGGATAGGAGAAACATAATCATCCCTTACCTTGAGGGTATAACAGAGAAATATCCTACCCTTGGGGTGATTTTTGTTGGTTGTCTAACCCTCGGTAGAGCCTTAGACAACCAAAGAATCACCCCTCGCGTAGAAGATTTCTCTGTCACACCATCAAGGTGGGGAAGAGTTGTATCAATCCAGCAGTCGAACCTGTACATTGTTGGTCACAATCGCAGTAGAATTCGTCACTGTTAAATCTCATTTATGTATTGGTAGTTCGATTCTTACGATGGGTTGTTGTCTGGTCATTTTGGAGTCTAATATTTATATAACTGATATCTTGGTACCTACCGTTGGATTGCGACTCAAAGTCACGTTTTAATGGCCTTGTTTCATCAGGACCTTTAACGTCACGTGCAGTAACTGAAAAATACAGGTATGTTTGTATAGACATATTTACAGATACAACACATTTGATTACTACAAGTTCCTACATGTAACCGACCTTAAATGTTTCACACAGAACCAAATGTTTCTCATTGAAGACGAAAATCACTAACTAACTAAATAATAAGAAGTAAGAATATGCAAAGATGAATAAAATGATATGGTAGGTACTGTAGAGTAATGTTTTATTTATAGTTCAAGTTCACGAACAAAGTCATATTTATGGTCAAGGTCACTGGGAAGTCCTTCTGATAAACCTGTACTTAAATCCCTACCAAAACAAGTCGACTCGTCACTTTGGAGTCTTGTATTAATGTATCTTTCTGTGGTACCTTCTGCTGTATCTTGGCTTATGGGCAACCTTCTGGATGATACTTTAGACTTTAACGACCTTCCTGCTTTCACAATATGTAGTTATAATACCAGGGGCAGTTATGACCACTAAACGGTAGTCTGTTGGGTCATATAAGCATTTTCTTATAACCCAATAATCAACCGAAACATTTCTACTGTATAAAGTGAATTCACATTAGTTCTTACTTTGGTCTTGTTGTGAAAGACGTGGATATATATGAAGACTGTCGTTATTTTGATTATTAGAATCTGAAAAAAAAAGAATTAAAAATATCATTAAATGTGTTGTGATCGGTATGAGTTGTCTTAAATAAAAGCTTAACAAAGATTACTAGTATGTAAGATGATATAATTACCAATACTAAGTAGGCAAGTAAAAATCTGAACTTAGGTAGCATGAATAAGTCTCTCTGTTTTGTTTCCATATATATCTAAATGAAATCCTAAAAAAGCATTGATATGATAAAACAAGAAATGACTTGAATACTTTAAATTGCTGAAGGAACAAAAATAAACAAGTAGAAAATGTCTGTAAGACGTAAATGCCCCCGCTGCCATGTGAAATTAGTTTCAGTGGTCTATAAAAAGTTACAACCACTTTGATCTTGATACACTGAAACCTGCACACACACAAGGTACTACACTTAAAGTTGATTAGTTGATTTTAATATTCATATGTTTTTTTCTGTATGTTATTACCATCCTGAAACACAAGGATGTCAGAGGTATACCCATACTTGAGCTTTATAAAAAGTTTGACCAAAATCCGTGAAAGAATGAAGTTGCTAAGTGTTTAAATTGAATCAGTTGATGATTTTCCATATATAGCAACAGCGACCTTGGCCTTGACCTTGGAACCCTGAAACAGAAGGATGTTAGACGTATACCCATATTTGACCTTTGTATACAGTTTGACCAAAATCCGTGAAAGAATGAAGTTGCTAAGTGTTTAAATTGAATCAGTTGATGATTTTCTATATATAGCAAGTGTGACCTTGGCCTTGACCTTGGATCTCTGAAACACAACGATGTGGGAAGTGTACTCATGCTTGACCTTTGCATAAAGTTTGACCAATTTCTGTGAAAGAATGAAGTTGCTAAGTGTTTACAATGAATCGGGACGGGACGGGACGCGACGGACATGGGTAACACTATATGCCCCCCCCCCCCCCCATTTTATGGAGGGTTGTACCTTTGTATAAAGTTTGACCAAAATCTTTTAAAGAATGAAGATGCTAAGTGTTTACATTGAATCGGGACGGGACGCGACGGGACGGGTGTTTACATTGAATCGGGACGCCATGGGACGGGACGGACATGGGCAACACTATATGCCCCTCCATTTTATGGCGGGGGCATACAAAAGCCCATACCAACGCCGACCGACTGTGCAAGGAGTCAGAACGGTTTCTCATTTGAGCAGATTCTACATATACAAGGGTCATTTAAAAACTTCCGTCACAAGTGTCAGGAATCACATGTTTGATGTAGATAGTTTGACCTTTCTTTGCAATCCTTCGAGTAACCCCCTAAGCAGAAACGCACGCTATCCAGTACGTAAACACGGTAATCTCCCCTTGGTATACTGGCAAGACACTGTAAGATTTTATCGCCTAGAGCACTCCTAGAGGCATACTGATTCATAGGTAAATGAAACAGGTAGAAGTTACTAGGAGGTGGTGAATAGAGTAGGTATTCAATCTGTACAACCTTCTCTTGCTTCAAAAACGCAGCATACAAAATTTCCTCGACGCATTTTTATAAATGCATTTACATAAGAATCTTGGTGTTTCCGAAACTTATGTATTTTTACAGAGTTTACGCATTTCAAAAGTAAAATTATTAACCGATAGAGCGTTACCTGCTCAACACCAAAAAACCCTCCCAGAGGCATTCCAACTGATAGCTTACAATGTGAAGTTAACAGGCTCCTAAGTGCCTCTTTGGCATCCAACACCAGGCATGTTTACAGTACTGGAGTTGATAGGTTTGAACTGTTTTTGCTTTGCAGATCCTACCAACTAGGCAGTCTTTGGCCTCCTACATTACACACTGTTGTTGAGTTTATTGCATGGCTGACCTCACAGGGGTTCCCCCTTCAACGGTGAACTCATATGTAACAGGCATAAGATTTAAATAAAAGATTAGTGGTTGTATAAATGTAACCCAGATTTTTATTATCAACAAAATGTTGATCGGCATGACTAGGTTAGATGAAAATGCCAACAGTCGTCACCTATCTTCAAATACTACCTGTTATTTGTGGCTAAGCTTATGAGGCAACCTCAGCCGCTTTTTCCATAGCTTTCTATGGTTTCATGCAAGTGGGTAAGTTTGTTGTTGCTAAGCATGCTTTAATGGCACATAACATTGAAGTTTGTGATTGGGATGGAATGCTCAAGTTGAAACTTCCTCATTCAAAAACAGACTAGGAAGGGAGGGGTGTGATTATCGAATTGCAAAAAACTGATAGGTCCATTTGTCTAGTGCAACTTGCTAAAATAAGTTCTGGCGGTCTGAATACAGGTTCCTGGTGTGTTGTTCTGCCATTTTAACAGTGTTCCAGTTACTAGGTATCAATTTTCGGCAGTACTGAAAAAATCTTTGAAAGCCATTTGGTTACACACACATAGTTACAAATCACATTATTTTAGGATAGATGCAGCTACATTGGCATCCATGAAAGGGTTTTAAGCTGATAGAATTAAAGAAAGTGGTCGATAAGAGTACAGAGCGTTCAAGAGTTACATCAGGATTCCAACTGACAAATTATTGTAATACTTGTCTATGTTACATATGGCTTACTCTAAGCTTAAGTTACAGATATCAACAAAACAGTTTCGGTTTTGGGTTCATCGATCATAAGGCGAGCTTTTTGTCATGCCCGAGATTTCCATATGGATGTCGCCATATTACGCACATATTTGTTTGAGTAGGTGATCCTCATGTTGTAAATTTTGGCAAGAATTTTTGATACAGTGGTTGTGTCTTATCCAGCATGGACATTTGAACGTTGTGAACATTTTACATATTTCCCTGTTTTATTTGCAATTATTTGATATTGCAATTTCGACTATTGATCTTGCACAGGGGTTTGTTCTCCTGGTCTCATGAAGCTTTGTTTTTAAAAATATGTAGTTTGAACAACCTTGTAAGTGTTCAGTGAACTGGACCAGATATTTCCCATTGCATGTGCCCACACATTTTTTGTATTTTTTCATACATTTCTGTTGGTACTGTGACAACATGTTGGGGCAACAAAATGTGCTAACGTTTGGAATTTAAAATGACATTTTCATATTAATACTTAACAACCTTTATAGGTGAAATTTTCTTTTCCCAGTTTCCATTTAATTCTAGCTGTTATGAGGGCGAAGCCATGGCAATCATATGCCAAAAGTAATATTATTAATAATATCAAGTAATAATTTCAGCTCTTAACTTGATATTCTTGTGTTTGTCTTATATTTGTATCTATGTATCAGCAGTGTGGAGGAAGTAAATGGCAGGTAAATGCAAATGAGTTTTTACATATAACTAAAATCCTCTCGAAACTGGGAGACAATGCAGATACCCGACACTGATGGGAGCAATACAAAATATAAACATGCAGAGTATATTCAATTTTATCTCCATATTTAGATTCAAAATGACAAAAGTAACAAAATTAAGCTACAAATTGAAGAAAAACAAAGCATGCGTTCGTAATACATTGTTATTACCGTCACGACTCAGAGTTGTTGTTCCGGAATTGCTTCCTCTTCTACCAAAAACTGTAATTAAAAGATAAGGTCATATTAATTATTTCATAAACATTAATATCAACAGGTAATATGGGAATTTTGTATTGTAGCCTCAACGCATTACAAAACTTCGTTACAATAATAATAATAAAAACTTTGCTTATTTTATAACAATTATAAAACAAGTTATATCAACTCATATTAATCATTGTTGTTGGTTCCGATGTTAGCACGCGGGGGCCTTACTGGAGTAGGAAACCAGAGTGTTCGGAGGAAACCTACGAGGTCGGGCAGGTGACCCAATACGTTTTCACGTCCGATCAAAATTGAATCCCGGCCACCTTGGTGAGAGGCAAGTGTACTATCCACTGAGCCATCCGACCATCCTATCATATCTTTGCGACGAAAACGTATTTGTGATTTTACAATTCCGTTAAATGAATGTGTAGGATAAAAATATGTTTTGTGTAGGAGTTGGTGAGTGCCCCGTCTCACTGCAGTGTCTTCCCGAAAGTCAGAATTTGTTCTTGTATTGGAATTGTTATTTCTTAAGTACGTGTGATCATTGCATGAATCATGTCTCTAAGTTCAGTACATACACATTCCCCAGTAGCGCGTGATATCGGGTTGCTGACATATCATCGTCACGCACGTGTACTATTTGTACCCGTTGTAACCATACTTTCCACTACGGCATTGAAAATTGATGCCCGATACGCAATACGGAAAAGACGACACGAAAATACGACAAGAAAAACATGTGTATAACAAAAGGTAGATAAGTTATTTAAATCCAGTCGTGCGAGAGCTATTTGGCTAAATAAGAGTTCTGCTTTGACACAGCATCATCTTAAGTCAACTCAATCAAACTTTCAATGGCTGTTTAAACAATGCAATTCCGTGCCTGTTTCAGATTAGTTTCGCTTTTTTAACCATGGTGATGGGAAACAGAGTATTGACGTCAAGGAAAACGGCCTGCAGACTGTTCCGTCCTGGAACATGACCATTTTGAACAGTGGCGTCCCGTTATCGAGATTAACTCTTGAGGCCTGTCGTGGTTCATGTTTTGCATGTTAGTATAAATGTAGCTGTACTTACCAACGGCGTCTAACTCATTGCCGCGTTCTGCATCTCTGTCACGTTCATTAGTGCTGGCAACAGGAGCAGGCAGACCTAAAATGACAAATCTAATGTGATCTCAAACGATACATATTCATAAACACAAAATAACAAAATATCGTGGCTTTTCCTCAGATAAATGACGTTACAAGACATGGGTGGAATAAATGAAATGATAAGATTTTACTTCCAAAAGCGTTGGTGAACAAATGTAAGAAAAACGAAATAAGATATTATAGATTTATCAGCAGTGTGGAGGAAATAATTTGAAGATTAATGCAAATGAGTTTTTACATATAACTAAAATCCTCTCGAAACTGGGTGATAATTCAGATACCCGACTCTTATGGGAGCAATACAAAACATATACATGTAGAATATATTCAATTTTATCTCCGTATTTAGATTCAAAATGACAAAAGTAACATAATGAACTTAAAAATTGAAGAAAAAAAGTATGCATTCGTAATTCATTGTTATTACCGTCATGACTCGGAGTTGCTATTCCGCAATTGCTTCCTCTTCTACGCAGAACTTCAATGAAAGATAAGGTCATATGAAATTTGTATTTTCAGAAACATTGATGTAAACAGGTAATACGGATTCTTTTTATAGTAACCTCAACGCATTACAAAACTTCGTTATAATAATAAAAATAAAAATAAAAATTTGCTTATTTGATAACAATTATAAAACAAGTTATATCAACTCATATTAATCATTGTTGTTGGCCCCGATGTTAGCACGCGGGGGCCTTAATGGAGTAGGAAATAGAGGATCTCACATAAATTTCCATGGATATGAGATTTATGAAACGAGTTGAGAAAGTTTTAATTTTGCGAGGCTCTGCCAAGCATAATCAAAACATTCTCAACTCGTTTCATAAATCTTATATCAAATGGAAACAAATGTGAGACTCTCTTTATCACATGACGTAAAACAATTGACAAAACATTAATTTTTAACTTAATTAGTTGCATTCCTTTAATAGTAACCGAATAACGGCTGAAATAATATCATTCAACAGAATGCGATGAAACATAGCTCACGAATCTGTACACACTTTTATAGTAGTATCCAGTCATTTTATTATTAGAATTGTCGACGTATGTTTATATTTGCAAACATACATCGAAAATACATGTTTGTTTTTAGTAATTCATGTGAGACAATGGTTTTAACAGCACGACCTACAAAATGACCTCACCAGACTGGCAGACAGCCGCGTCATAGCGCGCGCATGTACAAAATCGAGGTAACAAATGTTTCCGAGCCGGACTAGTCGCTGTCGTTGTCTGAAACGATTCTTCTTTGTTAAAGGGTTCTTTGATGACTGACGTTGTCCTCTTTTGGAACCACATTAATGTTGAAGTGTCCTCCATACACATTACCACCAAACATTGTGTGAAGTCCTCCGGGTACATTCCTTGATGAGGCCGTACATGTCGGTGGATGTATGTTGGACCGCGGTGTTGTTATAAGTCAGAGTCAACCGATTCTGTTGACATTGTGTTGAAGCGAGAGCCATGGTTTCGGAAGGATGGATACTATGCACAAAGGATCTTGTGCTGATAAGAGTAAATGTGACTAATTATTTACAGACTGTAAATATGATTGGTATTCCCGGTAACATAAGGCACAGTTGGCTCGTCAGATAGAAGTTTCATACGGTTTCCTGGCATGTCAAAATTAACTCCGTCCATCTACACAGTGTAATCGTTAGGTCCTTAATTAACAAGTAGGATTTTCGCGAGCCCACTGTTGTCTATACTCACCTTAACATTGATTGTGAAAGTAGCCATATATTTTATATGACTCGTAAAAAGGTAGTTCTGTTTACATACTACGTCACGCGTACAGGTATTAACACACACGAAATGTGAATAGTCTGACCAATCAAAACCCTCCAAGGTGTTATTACACGTGTGGTGATAACACAATTTATGTAATGAGTGTTATTACACTCATAACAGGGTAGTCATGTGATAAACAAGATTATGCGGAGGAAACCTACGAGGTCGGGCAGGTGACCCAGTACGTTTCCACGATCAAAATCGAATCCCGGCTGCCGTGGTGAAAAGCAAGTGTGCTATCCACTGTGCCATCCGACCATCCTCCTCTATCTCTTCCTTTAATTGTTTAATATATACGCCCAGGTTTCACTTACCTAGTCCAATAATAATGATTGGAAGGCATACCACCAAAGCTACCAATATCGGAACACCTCTACAAATAATTTGCAAATAAGAGTTATTTCTATTACAAGTTAACCATTCGGTACTGAAATTTACTAGTGCTTTAAATTAAATTACAAATCAGACACCAGCATTAGCTGAGATGATATCAACAACCAATAACATAGTTTGACTTTCTTTAGAATAATAATTACTTCTTGTGTCACTAAGGAGCAATATAAATTCCAATTGGATATGACAAGTAAGTATTCTATTGCTTGTACAGTTGTAATTGGATTTGTGCCGGAATTAATATATATAAAAAATACCATCTAAAAGCAAATCAACTTTCTGAGAAATTCCAAGATAAACTTAAACAAGCTATATGTTTGTAAAAAAAAACCAAACGTTTCTGTACATCTGACATATTAGATGCGTTAGCGGTATCTATATATCATATGTATCACGAGATTTAACCATTCACCTATTTCATAGTAATTTTTTGCTGTCTCGTGCCTTTTCTCTTTTTGGATAGAATTTGAATGTCAATATGTTGACCCGGAGTATAGTTTTGCTCCTCTTAATATTCATAAATATTCGCATTTTTTTGCGGTGCTTTATGTATGTTACAAATTGGTTTCCGTACTTACATATATATATACAAAGGTTTTGAGGAGTTGGGTTGAGAAACTGTTAACATCTCGTTTCCACCTGTAGAATTTTAAAAAGAAATACATACGAGTGTTTCGCATATATTATACCACGAAGTTCATACGATAAATCACATTTGACAGAATGAAATAATTCATACGAGTATTTGATATTCAGACTGGGGAATTACAAACGTATATTTTTGGTGTATCTAATATGTCAAGCTGACATTCTTCACATCAGTATTAAACATTCTATTGTATCCGCCTTGACATCTTTGAAAACGCAAACAATATGTGATTAGAACAAAATTGTTCCAGAAATCACAACTTGTGTAGATTTGCAGGTAGCCATTAACAGGAAACCATTTTCATATTCAAACTAAATCATTTTTTAAACAATAAATCCTAGAATTATCTAGAAGGATCTTTATCAGATTTACAAAAGAGGATTTTTTTCCCTTCTGGGCTCTTCATTTTCCTGACATGTACTATTTCTCAGTTCCACGTTGGTAAACATTTGTAATTCTTACTTAATTAGAAGTGCTGTCAATGGGCTAGGGATATTTTAGATAAGGGGAACAATGGAAACATACAAATACAATTTGAGAAAGATCCCTAAAGTACTTTCTGAGAAATATCTTTTGATAACAAATCTTAACTGTAAAATCAAAGATTTCCACCTGTCGGCCTTTGTGTTTTTTTCCCTCAAATAATTCCTAAAAGTAAATATGCACAAATAGAGATCAAGGGTAATTAACATATAAAATTTGAGAAAGACCCTTTAGTACTTTCTGAGAAATAGAGATAACAAAACGTTACTGTAAAATCAAAGATGATAACTTTAACCCCCGAAATTATAGATTGCTGCCTGTCGGCAATCTTTGTTTTTCTCCTCAGTTCAAATATTCGCTATACGACCATGGGACATCCCTCATGTGCTTTCTGAGAAATAGCACTAACAAACTTTAACAAACAAACTTCTGACTTTAACAATCTCAGAAACTGATCTGCGTTATATTGGACCATAAAGAACATCCTAAAGATCATCTTCGTTGTCCATGAGAAACCTTCATGTGAGATTTGAGAAAGATCCTCCCATTACTTCATGAGAAATATCTCTAACAAGAATTGTTTAAAGCTTATGATTATGGGCCAAATTATGCTTTTTGAGTACAATGACACAAGGATTGTAAAACTAGACTGATTTATTTTAATTAAAAAATGTATATGAAGATGAGACAACTTTACACATTATAGTGGAAAACCAATGAGAAATAAAGAATATCGTACCAGCTTTCGTGTGTATTGCTAGGATTCGAGCGTCACTAGCCTTGGCCTCATATAGTATCGTTCTTACTTCAACCTTGTATGTTGTACTTGGGGTCAGGTCCGGGAGGCGAATTTCCGTGCTATTACCCTTAGTTTCTGACAAAATGCACGTGAAATATTTATCAAAAATGATAATTAATAGAAAAAAACCCCACTTCAATACCATTGTTGGCCCTATTATATATATATCAATGTCTAACGGAACGATTTTGTTTGTATATTTCTCCAATATCGTGATATATGTTTATATATGATACAAAAATAACCTACCATTTTCGAGCTATTGTCTACATATCTGAAACCAATATCGTGCTATAGTTTTATACTTAAACATACTAATTTCTAGTTATAGGTCTACATATAACATACCAATACCGTGCTATAGGTAAAGATGTAACATACCAATATCATGCTAGAGACATCATGGTATAGCTAGATATACCATATACATAATCTACTATACCTATATCTATATCATACCAATAAAGATATAGATTTATATAAACAATATACATATCCTGCTATAAATCTAGATAAATTATATCAATATAGATTAATAGATAGTATACCAATGTAGCGATTTAGATGTATATATACCATATGCATATCCTGCTATAGATCTAGATATAACATACCAATATCGTGATATATGTCTTATTTGTACATATAGATATTTTGATATAGGTCAAGTTATCTAGATAAATCATATGCATAGACTGCTATTGATCTAAATATAACATATAAAGATAGTGCTACAGGTCTAAATCTTGCATAACGGTATTGTGCATTAAGTTTTGCTATAACATACCAAACTCTTGCTTCAACTGTTGATGCAACATGCCAATATCGTGCTATTGGTGGTGATATTACATACCGATGTTATGCTCCAGATATCGCAGCAGGGATTCGTTGAGCGGTTTATAAAGCCACACGGCTATAGTTCCGGAGCTGATACTACCGTCTAGCGACTCTACTTTAACATCAAGAATAACGTAGGTGGATGTGATATGGCTTGCATTCACTTCAGGTGGATTTGGCTGAACTGGAAAAAAGAAATTGATCTTATTATCTTCAACATTACATTCCAAGTAGCCATTAATATGTGCATATATTTTCGCTAGCTTAATATTTGCTCAAGGCTCTTTCAGAACAAATTCACCCGTTGTGTGACGTTGAATTTTTCAACAGGTGTACGTAATATAAGAGAACTTATATTTTGTTCTGATATTTATTTAGTTACCCTACGGGTTACCTTATTATGTAACATAAAGATTATCGTTTTATGATTGATAACTATAATAGCTTTCATTTAATTGTGAGTGTTTCATGAGTTCCTGTTGTTATTCTTTTCCTATCAATTTTTTGTAGGTGTGGTCAATATTTTTATCAACTTTAAATGCAGATTTGTTCTTTTGTGGTGACAATGGGATGCATTTTATTTCTACTTTACAGGTAAATGTTAATCTCGTGCTATCTAATCATATGGCTAACAAATATCAGCAATGCATTATACATATGCAAACGTAAGTTTTGTATAGCTCCTTATCAAAATAACAACTTATATATATTTTGTTGTTGTACGCGTTACAGATTACACGTGTTTTAATTGAAGGTACACAGTTAAAATTTTCTCGCATTCCTGTGCGTGTATGAAAGAAATGTCAAGGAAAGGAAAGGAATGCATTTTTTTCTATCTTACACAACATGTCACATTCAAAATGTGACATCAATGACATAACGTCAAGAAATCGGATCTTTCCTATGCCGCAATGCGGAAGTTGGGATGCATTTGGGATTTTTGGAGCTAATTGTATCAACTCAAATGAGAGAAAGAAATCATTCATGTGAGGGGATTTAGGATTGGAAATATCACCATCGGTAATTTAAAATCGATGAAAAAAACCCTGCAGAACCTCTGTTTTACCAAATTGGGAACCCTCGGGTCGAAATCTCGCTATCCTACAGCCCTAGGTATGGAAGGCATTTCGCCTGCTTCCCGATTCTGAACACATCACTATATCATCGCGCCGTCTCGTGTCACCTCTTTAAGAAGCATACACACCACAAGTGGAGCACGTCATAATTTTGGCAAAAGTGTGCTAATATAACAGAAATATGTATTACATTGTTGAGAATGGGATTACTATTAAGTTTTAAATGCAGGATTAAATGATAACTGTAATGAAACATGGAATACAAAGAATTCAGAAAGATAATAAATTGTTTGAGACGTTCCTGTCAATATATCATTATCAATTTTCGATTAGTAAGTCTCTAACACAAACCTGGAGGACTAGTTGTCGTGGTGGTTACTACTTCTGTCGTAGGTGGAAGACCACACTGACCGTTCGGAAGGACAACCTCTCCACCTTCACATCTGACAGGATCCCTACAAATATAAATATGAATATATTTTAGAAATTTTCCTAATGTTTCAACTGTAGTTTAGACCAATTTGGATTTCTAAGTGTTTGGCCCCTAATATCATTGATGAGTCAGAGAATGATGAGGCAGATGTATGATGCAGTGTAATTCAAATTCTGCATCCTGTATCCACTACTTAATTGTTAAAGTGCGAACAACTGTGTGTGTGCAATGTTCATCGTTGAAGAACAACTGAGACGTATACGTTTGCTGCAATATGGAGGTGTCAGGGATTGAAATTTCATACTGGCTGAAAAAGTTGGAAGGGAGATCATTGACCGATTATGAAAACAAAATAATACGGTAATGCAAACAAAACCGTTGTTGAGAAATTTAATCTAACAATTTGAAATCATCTGAAGGGAAATAACACCTATCCAATAAAGAAAGGTTTTCACACACCATTGATACATCTGTCTTGTATATCTGGTACAATTCAGATAGATAAGCAGTTTACTCATAAAAGTGCAGACAAAAGAAACAACAAAATTTGCTCCCATAACTTTGGTTAAGATAAAATCAACGTAGGTAGAGCACAGAAAATTGAATTTAAGAAGTTAACAACAAATTGATTAAGATCGAGATCGTCATATCTCTTTCTCAAGAAATACCAGGGAATATCAAAGTGTCAATAGAACCATAGTTCGAAAACAAAATCGATTAAACTAGGGTAAGATATTAATGAAAGAGAACACGGAGACTGCTGAAAAAGTAAAAGGGAAACAAGACCAGGAATACCGGAAGGGTAAGCATATTCTGCTTATCGATGACACCCGACAAGTAATTCTAACTTGAACCCTAGTTATGTCGCGTCCTGACATCGAGTTCTCGGGATTTGACAACAAAACCACAAGGCATTCTACTGAGAATGATAAAAGCATCGGCATTGTCTTGCGTTGTTAACCTGTTCTAAGATATGACTCAATTGTAAAATTATTTGAATCGTTCGATAACAAGACAATTTACCAAGCAATAGAGCATATTTTCACACTGTGCCGAATAACATTTTACATGTGTGTATATCTATCTCCCTCTACAGTTTTGGTCAGCGCTGGCATATGAGTAGAATACCTTACGTGAGTGTCCATGTCTAATTAATTAATTAATTAAGGGACTTATTGTTTTTACTCCGTTTCTTATTATTATAATTATTCTTCTGTGTTCTTCTTCTTCTTCTTCTTCTTCTTCAGCCATGAACTTGTCCGGAGGTTTTCCCAGAAACTACTGGGCGGATCATCATGAAACTACACACATATACTCATTAGGGGGTCTAGGTGTGCAACAGGCTATTTTTATCTCGAGCGGAAGTCCAAGATGGGCGCCATTACATTTTTGAAATTTTTGGGAATTTAAAATTTCTAAAGGTGTTCGCCAAAGATAGCCTATGCCACCTATCCTATTTAACATGTTTTATAGATATTTTCTTATGCATTCCAAATTTGGAATGTAGGTGTATGATGGTACCGCGAACTCAACTATGACATCCGTTTTCTAATTAAACAAAATGGCTGCCATATACTGGTTACTGATTGGTCGAAGCTCCGTTGTAGTTCGATTTCGTTCAAATTTAGTATGTATGCGTAATATGGCATTGCAAACTCAACTGCGACATTTGTTTTCTAATTTGACAAATAGGCCACCATATACTGGGTTCTGATTGGTGGAAATATAGATGTTGTCTGATTCTGCCCGGAATTGGTACATAGGGGTTTTGAGGAATGCCGAACACAATGGTAACAGTTTCGAAAAGTTTAGTTGCCATGGTAACGAAATGGAGGCCTATGATTGGTCGAAATTTAGTTGTGGTCTGAATATGCCCAGAATTGGTACATAGGGGTTTAAAAGGATGCAGAACACAATATTAACAGTTTCGAACAGCTCAGTTGCCATGGTAACGACATTTGGGCCTCTGATTGGACGAAATTTAAATGTTGTCTGATTCTGCCCAGAATTGGTACATAGGGGTTTGAAGAGATGCAAAACACAACTGTAACAGTTTCGAACAACTCAGTTGCCATGGTAACAGAATGGAGTCCTCCCATTGGTCGCAATTTAGCTGTTGTCTGATTTTGTCCCTAAGTCCAACAGGGGTCGTTTGGGGACTTCTGTAACGGCCATCCGTTACAATTAGTACTAATTATTATTGAACTTATTACAAACTTCAATAATTTGATATAACAAGAGCAGTATTCATCACATAGCATTTATAATTTGACAAAAAAATCTAGAAGTATATATTATTATTTCAATCTATATATATAAGTTGTTAATGCGATGAAAATAATAATGACAAAACCAAAACAAACGTTTCAAATACATTTGAATGTTAACAATTAATTTGGTATAGTTAATAAAAGCAGTACCCGTAGTGGCAAAGAAATCTATGTTTGTGACCAATTGCAGCACCTTGAGGTCTTATCGAACCCGTGTATAACCATATTGATGACAAAGCCGTATGCCATAGTAATATTGGTCAGTTATCTGATAACACTGACTTAGTTGGTGTCCCTCTGTTCTCTGTTCGAGTTTCGTTTTATTAACCGGGTTGCATTGCCTATTTGACTAGTCTAGCCTGAAATATGATAAACTATTTCCGTTCATTTGCTATCGAGGATGTCAATAACAATGGTTGTTATTGTGGTTTGTTAACGAATATTCGATTTCCAATGGGAGTGTTCTCAGTGTGTTTCTGTTATTATTATTTTTTTGTACCTTTATTCCATTTTTGTAAGATTTTTATTCGTTTTTATTTTTTCTCTGTCTTTGTCCATTTTAGTTTGCTAACAATTCGTGCACAAATTCAAATGTGAAGCTAAGAGGAATTTGTACCAGGCTTTAAAGAATATGAGGAATAAAGGAATAAAAAAAAGAAACAACCATATTATTTATGAAGGTTGGTGGTTTTGATTTTGTTCTTTCGATGTCCCTTTGATTTTGTTGTCTACCCGGGGTCCGATATAAGGACGTGACAATATTTGGATTCGATGACGCAGAAGACGCATACCATTCCGGAACACCTGGACATATTCTCCTTGCACTTTGTAATGGATCTGCTGTTAAACTGTTACCGTGTTTATATTTTGCCCTAGTTATAAAAAAAATACTTTTTTTCCTGTTTACACTGTATTTCTGTATAGTGCTAGAAGGATAAACAACTGAAAGCTAACACATGATCACATTGCCATTTCTGTTTGAAAGTCTGTATAAAAAGAAGAGATACTTTGGAAAAGAATACATGCCTTGGTGGTGGGACCGGAATGCACATTCCATTTATGGATTCTACATAGTTTGGCGCACATACACACCCACCTGCAAAAGAATAAAACGTAGTGAAACCAATTCACAGAAAAACAAAATGTATCAATCACACTGTTGTCACATCGTTATCTGAAATGACTAGCGATTTATAAGCAAATCGATAATGAATTTGAAGCAAACAATAAACACAATTGGTTGTAATTACTATAAAATGTAGTTCTAACATTTTGTCCCAGTCATTTCCCAGTCACAAATTGGAGAAAAAGGTGATTAGCGTATATCAATTATAATTTAGTATAAAGGATATTATGTTATATTTACATTAGTGTTGCAGTGCCACTTGATAACAGTACCAACTAAAAGTGTGTGCATGATTCAATAGAAGGATGTGTAGTAATATTAACAGTACTACATGTACCGTTGCATGACCTCTAACCCCCAACACACATAAACACAAGCAAACCAAAACAAAACAATATTGTTTATCGACGGTTAAAATACATCTAAATATATTTTAATAATCCTTTTTTTTTTTTTTTTTTTTTTTATCATCAAAAAAAAATCACCGTGAAATTTAAGTCCGCGTATTCAACGTCTAAAATGCGTCGTGTGCTAACTCCAGCCACAGACATTTGTAACGAAACCCTGTGACCAGCCAATATGTCTGACAGCGATGTCGCGGGCGTGTCCCTAGAATATGGAATGACGGTGGTTTTTAATCAAGGCACATCATGTTTATGGCGGGCCACCGAAGCGTGTCTGCTTTAAGATCATATGACAGGTCCTTTTCAACAGAATAGAATATTTCACTGTCCTCCAGAATCTACACTAGCGTCCGTTGCAAGTGGCGAAGCAGGTGAAATCGTTCCGGCTCGTCGGCCAGTCCCCTCATCGATATTAATACATGCCGAATGCTCAAACGATGAGCTAGTCTTGTTGACACAGTCGATCGACACAAGAATTCAGCAAACAACATCTTTTAAATCATCTTCTCGTTTCTAAGGAAACTCCACATTTCACGGTTGCCCTTTCTATCTCGTTGAAAGTCGAGCCGCTTCGTTGCCTGATGAACGAAGCCGCTGCACAGCCGGTTTTTAAACGGTCAGCTTTCTCCGCGAACACGGAATAAATTTCTGACTTTTTGCAACTAAAATATTTTACATGGTATTTTTGTTGTTTTAGATCTACTGTCAATTTTTAAGATAATCAATTCTTGTTAAACGTTCTGAAAATGTAAATTAAATTATTAAAAAATATGTGGAATTATTTGTTTATTGCTCAACTGTGTATTGAGTCACCGTTGACAACGCATCATCTTTCCCGCGAAAATGGCTATTCTGTTAATGTTGTTTTCATGACGGTGTTTAGCTTTTTAACGTGAAAAAGTCTATTTTTTCTTAATTTCAAATAATAAAAGTGGATGTAATAGAATTAAGATAAAAGGTTTGAAATGCATCATTTTAACATTGATGAGGGTATGCAACACAGTTCCGTTCAAACATATTCCATGATGCGCGTTAGCGCATCTTGGAGAATATGTTTGAACGTAACTGTGTTGCATACCCTCATCAATGTTAAAAAGATGCATTTCAAACCTTAAATAACGCCTGGATGTAGACTAACATAAAAAATAACCTTTCACATCGGTGAATAAAAACAAATGAGGCGTTAAAGAATCATGTCACATAAATCAACCTAAAACATTGCAGTGAAGCTGGTACAACCGCTTACACCAGAGCTGTAATGATCGAAAATAATGTAAAACGTCTAACTGTAAACTAATGTAATGAGCCTATTTATAGAAAACTATAGAAAAAACACACTGTATTAGGCCAAACTAGTGAAGCCAGTTTAACCACCAACACCACAGACATATACCAACTAGGTAAGCCGGTCTAACCACCTATACTACATATACATCCCAACTAGGTAAGCCGGTCTAGCCACCAACACCACATACATACCCCAACTAGGTAAGGCGGTCCTACCGCCAACACCACAGACATATCCCCACTACGTAAGCCGGTCTAATCACCAACACCACACATATATCTCTACCAGGTAAGCCGGCCTAACCACCAACAGCAGAGATATATCCCCAATAGGTAAGCCGGTCTAACAACCCAACACCACAGATATATCTCTACCAGGTAAGCCGGCCTAACCACCAACACCAGAGATATATCCCCACTAGGTAAGCCGGTCTAACCACCAACACCACAGACATATCCCCACAAGATAAGCCGGTCTAACCACCAACACCACAAACATATCCCCACTACGTAAGCCGGTCTAACCACCAACACCATATACATATCCCCATTAGATAAACCGGTCCAACCACCAATACCACAGACATATCCAAACTACGTAAGCCGGTCTAACCACAAACACCACAGACATATCTCCACTAGGTAAGCCGGTCTAGCCACCAACACCACAGACATATCTCCACTAGGTAAGCCGGTCTAGCCACCAACACCACAGACATATCTCCACTAGGTTAGCCGGTCTAACCACCAACACCAGGAGACATATCCACACTAGGTAAGCCGGTCTAACCACCAACACCACAGACATATACCAACTAGATCAGCGGGTCTTAGCACCAACACCACAGACATATCCCAACTAGGTAAGCCGGTCTAACAACCAACACCACAGACATATCCCAACTAGGTAAGCCGGTCTAACAATCAACACCACAGACATATCCCAAATAGGTAAGCCGGTCTAACCACCAACACTACATATATATCCCCACTAGGTCGGCCGGTCTAACCACCAACACAACAGACATATCCCCACTAGGTAAGCCGGTCTAGCCACCAACACCACATATATATCCACCCTAGGAAAGCCGGTCTGGCCACCAACACCACAGACATATCCCCAATAGGTAAGCCGGTCTAACCACCAACACCACAGACATATCCACACTAGGTAAGCCGGTCTAACCACCAACACCAGGAGACATATCTTTACTAGGTAAGCCGGTCTAACCTCCAATACCACAGACATATCCACACTAAGTAAGCCGGTCTTACCACCAACACCACAGACATATCCACACTAGGTAAGCCGGTCTTACCGCCAATACCACATATATAAAACAACACCTGGAGACATATTGTTACTAGGTAAGCCGGTCGAAACACCAACACCACAGACATATCACCACTAGGTAAACCGGTCTTACCGCCAACACCACAGACATATCCCCACTAGGTAAGCCGGTCTAACCACAAACACCACAGACATATCCCCAATAGGTAAGCCGGTCTAACCACCAACACCACAGACATATCCACATTAGGTAAGCCGGTCTAACCCCCAACACTACATACATATCCACACTAGGTAAGCCGGTCTAACCCCCAACACCACAGACATATCCCCGCTAGGTAAGCCGGTCTAACCACCAATACTACAGATAAATCCCCACTAGGTAAGCCGGTCTTACCGCCAATACCACATATATAAAACAACACCAGGAGACATATCTTTACTAGGAAAGCCGGTCGAAACACCAACACCACAGACAAATCCTGCTAGGGACTGGTCTTACCGCCAACAGCATTAAGCCGATTAAGGTTCAAACACAATGAATGCCCAACTAGGGAGGTGGTCTTACTGCAAACACTTCAGTCGTATTTAAACCCGGTCTTACCACAAACACTACTTTAAACTCGTGAAGCCGGTCTAACCGCGAACATCATAGGCGCATCATTACTTGTGAAACCAGTAAAAGAGCGAACTTAGTAGATTAGTTTCAAAAGCACTATCGTCGTATCGTCACTAATGAAGCCGGACTGACTGCGAACATCACAGACGTATCCCCACTAATTACATTAATTATAATAAAATAATCTATCCACGAACACCAACGTCCTATACCCACAAACTAACCCGATCGTTCCATAAACACATATGTATCTATATAAGCCACTCACTAGCGGTTTTTCATAAAGGTCTGAATTGCTGAATTTAAGCTATAAACTGAAGAAGGCAGTCTTACTAAGCTGTTAGCAATTATTCTTTAACGACAAGATAGAAACATACCTTTAACGAACCTTTGATTTAAACTGATATATACTTCACAGTCAGAGGAAATATGAATAACTTACCAATATACTTCTTTACTTATACATGTTACTTACATGATTGTAACAAAATCTTGTTTCCATCACACTGTACAAAGGAACACGCATCCTCTCTCTGTCCACAGTAGTGTCGTGATGTGTCACAGACACACTTCGTTAACCCGTCCGGCTGTACTTTCGGCACTGTTTCTCCTAGTAAAGCAACGAAAACAAGGGTTTATGAAACTCATAAACTACGTTTCAAGATCATTTAAACTATTTTTAGGAATAATTCCTTATAACAATAATACGCATTAATTTTGCCTTGTGGTCATTTAACTATATTTATTCACTTACAGAAATGTATATGCAATATTAGCCAACACTTTACCTTATATGACATATTTTGATGTAGTTAGTTAGTAATGGGCTGAATATGCGGAAAGTCCAGAGGATATGCACTTTAATGTTCTCTTCACCCTTGGAACAATGTCGTGGCGAAATCGAATAATCTCTACCCGCCATTTTGTAGATGAACATGTAGACGATATTAATTATTTTGTGTACAATGAAGGAATCGCACAGCAGTGTAACGGTAACATGAAATGGCTTTGAAGTCGGATTTATACCATCTTTAATTTTCCAAAGACACGTATCAGCCTAACTATTGATCAGGTTATTTTACCTGAAAACAATCAAATAGCTGACCGTGTACCTTCGATTTTGCCATGACATTTGACATCTGACAGTTCGAATTTTGAATTTCAGAGCATGAATTTTTGTATAAGGCTTATCAATTGCAAAAAATGAATTAAACTGATACATAAATACACAGTAATGTTTTATATTTCTTATAGGGATGTATATAAAAACATATACATTACTGTAGTTATGTAAGTTTGTTCCCTCCTCCGTATCGTTATGTTACCTTACCTACGAAGTTGCAAAGGGTCGCAGCGTTAACCAGCAAATATTCCTGAAACACAAAGTAGGGTTTTCATGTTTAATATAATAAGTTACCGGCTGATGGGCACTAGACATGGAACCAGGCTTTGTTTGTAGGACCGATATGTCTGGATTGAATCAGAGCTGAATCCTAAATCGGTGATGATATATATGACTTTTATACAAGTATTGTCAATATGGGTTTAAACATTTCCATATGCCGTGTTTTGTATTATTATCAAGGATTCAGATATCATCTTATCAAATTTATACAATCGTGAAAAAATTACCGTCTTATATGTTGGCTTGATTTTTTTTTTACAGAAAACTTACCAAAAGGAATGGTACTATTACCAGGTTCGACAACTTCATGCTGTTCATGATCCCTTCCTGGAAAAAATAAAACCAATAGCACGTAAAACACTTCAAGCATTTTAAAATTTCGTTGAAGCATCAAGTAATAAATTTCGAATATTGATTGGACAACCCTGTAGGGATGGATCATGCAACACTGGGAAAGTCGCTAATCATAGATGCAGCTCTATATTATGTAATAAGTTCACAGTGACATTCTTCTTGTACTCGAGACTCCGTCAGCCAAGACATCCTTGCATACCAAATATGGTTACTGAATGTTAAAGAGTATACAAGAGACGCCCCGGCAATGTTTGTACACATGATCAGGTGATAGATCAAGCAAAGGTCACAGTGGTCTACTTTTTGTACTTGACAATCCACCACCCAATGATGTACTTGCATACTAAACCTGGTTACTGAATGTTTAATAGTACACAAGAGATGCCCAGACAATTTGTGTTAAAAGGATCAGGTGATAGATAAGCAAAGATCACAGTGATCTACTTTTTGAACTTTACAATCCACCATCCAAGGATTTTCTTGCATACTAAATCTGGTTACTCCAGATGAAATAGTTTAACGATTAACCTCTGACAAAATAGTGTAAAAGCATATAAATTTGTGTTGGGGTTAAATTTCGTTGTTTTTGTATTGGGACAAATTAGAAGGGATTATATTTCGTGGAATTAATCTTTCAAAACCCTGTATTTTTTCTGGTAAATAAAAAGTTCAATTGAAGGCGTGACGACACAGTGTAGGTAAATATAGTACAGGTAAGATTGGGCGAGATTTACTCACTCGATGGGTATTGGTCAAATTCATCACGCTCTATAGCTTATATACAAAAAAAGACATTCACACAGACGAACATGTACCTCGTCAATAGTTCGTACGATAGCAGACAAGAAACATGTCTTTTCTGAAAAAGTTATGATTAACCAAAGGATGGGAGTCATCTATTCCAGGACATATACACATATACATTCCAACACGTACATTCTTCTATATAAACATCAACAACCTGCCCTCGTACACACAATCCTAAATACACATAAACACCAACACATAAACATTCCAACACGTACATTCTTCTATATAAACATCAACAACCTGCCCTCGTACACACAATCCTAAATACACATAAACACCAACACATAAACATTCCAACACGTACATTCTTCTATATAAACATCAACAACCTGCACTCGTACACCCAATCCTAAATACACATAAACACCAACACATACACATTCCAACACGTACACACTTTTATGTACACTAATCAACCTGCAGACATACTCACATCCTTAATACACATATACACAAACACATATCCGGTGTAGCATGGTATTGTGAAGCATGGTAAAATGAACCGTGGTTCATATTACCATAATGGTGAAATGAACCGCTCTGGGATATATTCACACATATACACGAACCCTAATTACACACATATACATCTCTCACACAACCCTCAATCCTTATACCATGCGCTCTGGCATATATTCAAACATATACACCACTTTTACAGTCCTAACTACACATTCATACACAAAACCCTAACTGACATTCGCCTCTCTATTTAAAAGTTTTAACTAACACACAGGATTATGACATTTATAATACATATTCAGATAAAGCTATCAATTATTTTGTTTAGTTTGCATAAGTATAAGCAGTTATAGTTATTTATTATACACACTAATTTAATCCCTGTGCAGGTTCATCATTGTATTTTCTGTGAATATATCAATGTAACTATGTCAGCCTTCTTTGCAGTATAGAAAATAAGTAGATACGCACTATGTCAGCCTTCTTCGCATTATAGAAAATAAGTAGATACGCTATCTAATAGGACTTATTATCATCACCCAAATGTATGTATCTCCTCTTAGTTAAGATATTAGCTGAAATGTAGCCAGTTCTATTATTCATTAGTAGTAGATGATGACGTAGATGCTTATTGAAAACAACAAATGAATAGCTCACAATGGTCTTCACAAACCTGTTATCAATAAGGTGATTTACAATGCTTATCCAAATTGTAATTACTCGCCCCTTTTCTTAGCTGACATGATATTACATTCAGCTTTCAAGCATAACAATATTTGAAGGTATTATAACAACATTATCATCAGTATGGTGGCATATTTCTGCCATCCACTTGCGACTTACGAGTTACGTATGTCGACATAATTATTGAAAGATGTCGACATAATCTGAGAAGATGTCGACATAACTTTTAAATTATGTCGACATGTCATCACATTTGCCGAGGTAATTTTGCCGAGATTATTATGTCGTAAGTGGTTGATGTCGACATTTATCGTGTTAATGCTCGGGTGTGACATCGACTTACCACTTACGACTTGCCACTTACGACTTATTTATGTCGACATCCTAGTAGATAATGCCGACTTACCAAAACGAGGATATAGACTTTGTACATCATAGTAGTCTACTGTAATATCCATATCTTTGATTTCACATATTTACACTGATTTTACCAAGTTACTCACCAGTATAGTCACCACTGTCCAGTCAGCATCAGCCCACCTTCGCGGTCCTCGTGCACAAGCCTCGTTTTGGTAAGTCGGCAATAATCTAATAGGATGTCGACATAAATAAGTCGTAAGTGGCAAGTCGATGTCACACCCAAGCATTAACACGATAAAAAGCCGAGTTATCCACTTACGAGATAATTATCTCGGCAAATGTGATAATATGTCTACATAATTTAAAAGTTATGTCGACATCTTCTCAGATTATGTCGACATCTTTCAATAATTATGTCGAGATACGTAACTCGTAAGTCGCAAGTGGATGGCAGAAATATGCCACCATACATCAGGGAAGGATGACATTTTATTTTTGAATATCGACCAGGAAGGTCCATTGTTCAACTGATTCCATTTACTCATCATAAGGTAAGCAACTATCCTGAAAAAAGATTGTTTTAGCATATTTAGATCTCGTCATGCAAGTATCATTTAGAAGTAAATTATTGGGTGGCTCAATAATTCCATTAAGGTATTAGGCGTCAAATTGTTCATAATTTGTACATAATTATCAGAATGTGATTGTTTATTATAATTTGTAATGTATCAAAGTTTTCATTATCCAGTTTATAATGAGTTGCACGCTTTCGATGACCAGATAGGGTGTTCACCTCTCCCAAAGTGATTATTCGCATGACTTTTTATTTAATATTAGCTCAAATAAAAAACTATACATTATTTCAAGAGTATTTCTATCAAATTTATACTTTCTCATTTACCGAATATTCAATATAAAATGAGTATTGCATGTTTCAGAAATTAGAAATTAGGACATTAGTGCTCATGAGATTTATTATCAGATCAGTTATAAATGGATTATTAAAAATGTTTCTTCTTACAACCTTTACATTGTAGCTCTAATGTTTTCTATTTATTTGCCTCAAAACAATTATTAACTGGCTCAAGGTCTTCATTAAAGTAATTACAAGATGTATTAGTTGAGTAAAGTTCAAACTAATTATGTTTTTATCTGAGATAACATACTTTTTTCAATTTATACAATAACCTTTCTATCTAAACCTTTGTTTATGTCAAGAAATACAAATCTAACATCTTTACCTTTATCTAGATTGTTTTACTTATATTATATTTAGAAAGAAACCCGATTGTTGTTTACATTTTGTTTAGTAATAAAGTAGAATTCATATTTAAATACGATATTTTAATAATTTTAGACAGAACTGAAGAGTAGCCGTATGTCAATAGTAACCTGGATTAGGGGCATCACCTTCGCTTTTGTACAGAGCATTTACATTAGCCACTTTCCAAGTATGAATGATTCTATCAATAGAGAGAGGGAAATAAGCATTAAATTAGTTGGGGGCTACTCCATCAGTGCCGTCCGGCTTATTGAATTTTTATGACTAAGGGGAGGTAAATCCAGCAATCTTGTGTTGTCAGTTGTATCTGATGGGTAAACAAGAGGCTAATGACCACGTAACTGGCGGGCTAAACAGTTTATAACAGTTGGTGTTATCAGGAACACTGAGAGTTACAACTAATTTTGACCAGACTGCAGTGAAGTAGTGAGCATATTTACCTAGCACACCACAGATATGACGCTAAATAGACCATGTTTCAAAAACTAAAGCACACATATATATAAGAGGGAATTAATTTGCAGAATCTTGTTTCGTTGGATCAACCTTTCCTTATAAACAGATCTTCACCGGGAAATTATCGTTCTTCTTTCTCATGCAAGCTGTAAGTGATAAAGGTTTTCGCGAAAGAGGTTATATTCCAGATGATGTGTTCTAATTCCATATGTTTACTGAAATCATAGCCTTAAAACTTTGACTGGAAAATTTCGTGATTTCAAAATATTAAGGAATTGTGATTCCTTTTACAACGCCATCAGGAATGCTCCACGCTGCGATGTCCATCACAGACATAGTAACAACTTACTCTATGTGCATATTATTGGCAGGACGATTGGCATCTAACAAGGACATGTGTTCTATACGTTTCCAGCCTTACAACAAGGCAGTGCAAAGTTTGGCATGCAAATCTAGGGATCCAACCTAGACCTTAGATAAAACTAGACAGTGCGTGTGCAAAATATAGATTGTAGCTCTAGGGATCTTACCTAAACCTAAAATAAACTAGGCAGCGTAAAGTATTGAATGTAATTCCATGGATCCAGCCTAGACCTTAGATAAAACTAAGCATTGCAAAGTATGGAATGAAGCTTCAGGAATCCAACTTAGACTTTTGATTAAGCTAGGCAGTGCCGTGAATGAGATGTAACTCTAGGTATCCAGTCTGGACGTTAGATAAAAATCTAGCTCTATGGATCCCATGTCAACCTGAGATAAATTAAGGCAGTGCAATGAATGCAATGGAATTCAAGAAAATCCTACCACATCCAGGATACATGGGATTGCTTTATTTGCGATTTAATACAAAATACCTCGTACTTAAAGCATAGTTATGTGTTCAAAAGTCTGTTTATGATACTAATATTACGTCAAAAGTTTAATCCAGCAAATATGTTTGTATTGGTTGATGAAAACTTAAACTGGAAAATATATTAGTAAGCATTATAAAATTAACTGAACAAATACCATAACGCTACTTGCATGACGGTCTCATTTAGAAATGTTATAGATATACGCAAACATGAAGTTAGTTGTAAAGGTTACTTTCACTCATCCTTGTCCAGTACGTGTGGAATGAAGATTTATCAAACTGCCTCCTACCCTTATATAAACAGTGACCCATCTACAACTGTACAGTAGTTTGCACTAAACGGTCCAATAAATCAAGTCAATAGAATAAAAAGCATAAGGACTAATTGTTGTTAAATTTGTTTTGCATTTCTATCTACTAACGCAAACAGGAAAGTAAGCTGTATATAGTATATACAAAATGTAATTGAGTATGATTTTAACAGTACCTCATCCATGACATTATTGACATTGATTATTCATTACTTTAGAAACTTTGTATTGAAAACTTTTTTTAATGGTTTCTTACATAGGCAGATGTTTTATGATAGTAACTATCAATGGAAATAACCCTTGATTTTAAAATCAAATTGATATATGTTTATTACGTACATAACTACTAGTATTCCTATCATTTAATTTCTATTAGAATCCAGTTGTCCAAGATCTGATTAGATTAAATTATAACTTGGAGAAAAACATCACATTCTGTTTGCAGCATATTTCAAATATACAATTCATTGTATAGGGATTCAAATAGAAGACTTCTTTTAGAATTTCAGATATTCTAAAAAAATAAATGCTTACATGAACGGCAACGCAACGTTAAATTAAGCTAAGAGCAACCTAGTCCGAAATTACCTCTTTAAATTCGCCCCATCAGAAAATGAAAGGGGAGATTGTCAGTTAGTTCGGACTAAGAGCAGAAGGGTCCTTATTGCATTTAAATATATCCAAAATAAGTAATCGATTTTATCACAGCCTTCTGCTTCCGATTTGTGTTATAAAACAACACAGTGGAATGTATATCCCCCGCTTGCAGGACATATTGTAGGTTAACATTATTGAGGTTAGGTTTAAACATGTTAGTATCGTACTGTTGAGACATATTGTATATCTTGAAACTTGAAGAAAAAAACCCCCTATACCTCATTGATTATCGGTAAATATCAACAAATCACATCGGATGGCAAACTTAGCATGAGTTGGATGTGCATAAGGAATTTGGTTGAAACATCTTAACAATATCTACAGCAACAAGTACTAATTGTAATGGGAGACCATTACAGATGTCCCCCAAACTGCCCCCATAGTCGCAAAGATGCATCAGAAAAGGATCGCATACTAAATTTGAGTGAAATTGAGCAATTTCAAAATTGCAACCAATCAGAATCCTCAGTGTAGTTGCTATGGCAACGAATTATATGCAGTTCAATTAGCAGTCCCCTAATATCCCTATATACCAATTTTCATCAAAATCGAACAATATCTAAATTTCGACCAATCGGAAGCCTCTGTGTGGTTGCTATGGTAACGAAACTAATGCGGTTTAATTCGCAGTCCCCTAATATCCCTTATATAAATTTTCATCAAAATCTAACAATATCTATATTTCGACCGATCAGAAGCTACCGTGTGGTAGCTATGGCAACGAAACCGATGCGGTTGAAATCGCAATCCCCTAATATCCCTATATACCAACTTTCATCAAAATCGAACCAAGTTTGAAGACAATCGGTTAACATTTGTTATAGTTATTGCACAGAAACAGTACCCAGCATATATTACGTTTTTTTGTTATTCAAGGGGCCATTACTCCGCCAAATGGGGTCCCCTGAAAGTGGTCATCGAACTTGGCCGAGCCCTTAAGGCATTTGACCCTGTGACCAAGTTTGAAGAAAATCGGTTAACATTTGTTGTATTTACTGCACGGAAACAAAACGCGGCAGATAATTACGTTTCATTATTCAAGGGGCCATAACTCCGCCAAATGGGGTCCGCTGAAAGTAGTCATCAAACTTGCCCGAGCCCTTTAGGAATTTAACCGTGTGATTGAGTTAGAAGAAAATCGGTTAACATTTGTTGTAGTTATTGCACGGAAACGAAGCGTGACAGACAGACGGACAGACGGACAGACAGACAGACCGACAGACCCATATTAATATCCCCCTTTCGGCGAAAGCGGGGGATAATAATAGTTTTTTTCTCTCAATATACGTGTATTTCACTATTTTCTTTTTACATAATTCGGAGGTAGATGCTTGTACATATAATAACCATCTATACTAAGTTTGCCTTAGTTGTAAATGTTTAACGAACACTTCAAATGAGATCTCAAATATGCTGTATAACTATAGGATTAAATATTACGAAATATATGAAATACATGGTGTCTTACCTTTGGTGTCTTAGTAGTAAATTATTCCACACAAACCACTTGCAGAATGAAAAAGCATATGACGTAGATGCATAAAACTGAATTGTATCTATTTATAACTGTATACTATAGTATATATCTATATATAGTGTAGGGTATTTCCGCGATATACACATCAAGTGTTGATGTTCACATATTACAAGTTGGAAACTGGGCATTGCGATTAATTTAAAACAGTTTTCAAATTCATATATAATTTCTAGCCCGAACACACAATTCAGTATTTAAATGCACTGTCATATTTAATGCTTAGTAACAGGTCTATTAACTTCTTAATCAACAAAGAAAGAAATATTGCATCAGACATTCGGTCTCCCCCTTTTCCCACTTACATCTATATGTCAATTCTTATGCTATTTGGTCAAATGGTTTAGAGAACGCTTATCCTCCGGACATTTGGTAAGCATTTTTGTCGAAACAATTAACTGACCGCTTCATCAATTTAGGACTTATCAGTGGTACTTCTGGTCATAAAGAAAAAGAATCCATGTATGTAGATTAAAAAACGTAAAATACTAGAATTCGTAGTTACCAGAAAAAATACAGGGTCTTATTGATTCCACGAATTTGTCCCCATACAAAAACAACGAAAGAAGACCCCAACGACATATTATACTTTTACAGTATTGCACACTATGATCAGTTCGTTTAAATAGGATTCATCGGAGGCATTTAGAGGCAACAAAATGACAAATCCATGTCTGAGGTGTTCCGAACATATGAAGCTCATTTTTAATTGTATCTCGTGTAAACCATGTCAGAATAAATTCTAGTCATACGGTTACGGTCAACCGTGGGGATAGATAGACCGCCAGCACAGTCAGCCAACTTGTAGCATAAATAATCACTAGAAAAACGGAGAAATGAAAAACCTATTTGAAAAGGAACAACTAATAAATTCGATTCACTTTAGAGCTAAATTACATTAGAATTAAATTCATGATACATAGCCATTTTCGAAAATGAAGGCGGTTTTTTCCTATTTTCTAAAACACTGTCTAATATTATTGCCCTACACTTTAAACATTCACATTTATTTTATTCAAAACATACATATTCATTTGCTATAAATGAAACTACTAAAACACATTTCTTTCACAAAAATCTATGATGCTACATTTGGATTTTTTTCTTATAATATAAATCAGTAGACTTTAAGCGAACTGTTACCAAAAGTAAAGCACAGCTAAAATAATCTTCTCAAAATGCTTTTACTATTTACAAAACATGTTCCAATATGTAGTTATAAATGAATGACGTGGTGTACTGTTGTCAAGTACACAGTTTACATATGGCGTCTTTATGTATAGTAGTATTCCATATATAGGAACGGTGATTGCTGATGTCACTGTATTTACATCATTACAATTGATAGAGTACCTCAGATTCTGAAATTAATTATAATTTTGAAGCCACATCCCAGAGCAGACATATAGTACCGTATGGCATCGTGAAATACGCCCCATAAGTGTAACTTCGTGAAATACACCTCATAAGTATAATTGGTAGTTATGACTCCATTATGAGTAAAGGTCTGTGTGTTGCTAATGAGGAAAGAAAAACTAATGATTGTGAAATTAATGTCGTCATGTTTGTCTTAAAGTAAGATAGCCATTAGTGTCATATTAGGTACAAGTGAAGAGATGAAGCTGATGACGAGAAACCCGTGGAATCTCTATAGTTTAAAGTCATAGAGGAAAATGAGACGCAAGGAGATCTCAAAAATCCTGTTAATCAATCATTAAACATCATCAACATATCGTAATGGGAAATCAAAGGATCGGATATGTAGCTTATCTTCTTCATTATTATAGTCCTTGTGTAAATTCAGGTTCCTAAGAGTACAAAATATTATCATTTTCATATATTTGACGCCATATTTTACGTTTTCAACAATAATATAACAGCTCTGGATCTGAGGTAATCAGAAATGGTAATAGTTTAAGTACAAATAAATATCAGAAAATGATAAGTTAATATCTAAAAATACATCTATGATTTCAACTAACATGGTAACAAGGATACTCACTCTCTGTCAACTCGGTAGTAATCCGTCAGAATAACGCTGTGAATTACATGACTATCCCACACTTAAACCTTATTCTATATTTAGAAGAAGGGATTTCCTATTATTTTGTAGCCTATCTGTACAAAGGATCGTATGTTAAGGGCAATCTAACTGTCCGACTGTCTGTAGACACACCGTTGTTTGCAATGATCCTCCCCATAAATAATGCACCGATTTAAATAAAATGGTACATATAACATTGGAGTCAACTCCCACTATTTATTGAGTCATTATTCTTTGTTATAAAATGTTGTTAGCACGACTCCTTCTAAAGTACTGCACCTACTTGAATGACACTGGGTACACATCAAATGTTCAAATATGGGATGCAAATAAAGTATATAAACTGACGCGACCTTCCCTTACTCCAAGACATATCCCAACTAGGTGCGCCGATCTAACAACAAACACCACAGACATATTCCCACTAAGTAGGCCAGTCTAACCTACAACACCACAGACATATCCCCACTAGGTAAGCCAGTCTAACCTACAACACCACAGACATATCCCCACTAGGTAAGCGGGTCTAACCACCAATACCACAGATATATCCCCACTAAGTAAGCCGGTTTTACCGCAAATAAATGTACCACAGACATATCCCCACTAGGTAAACCGGTCTTACTGCCAACACCACAGACATATCCCTACTTGGTAAGTCGGTCTAACAACCAAAACCAGGAGACATATCTTTGCTAGGTTAGCCGGTCTAACCACCAACACCACAGACATATCCCTACTTGGTAAGTCGGTCTAACAACCAACACCAGGAGACATATCTTTGCTAGGTAAGCCGGTCCAACCACCAACACCATAGCTATATACCCACTAGGTAAGCCTGTCTAACCACCAACACCACATATATATCCTCACTAGGTAAGCCGGTCCAACCACCAACACCACATATATATCCTCACTAGGTAAGCCGGTCTAACCACCAACACCACATATATATCCCCATTAGGTAAGCCGGTCTTACCGCCAACACCACATATATATCCCCCACTTGGTAAGCCGGTCTAACCACAAACACCACAGACATATCCTCACTAGGTAAGCCGGTCTTACCACCAACACCACATATATATCCCCATTAGGTAAGCCGGTCTTACCGCCAACACCACATACATATCCCTACTTGGTAAGCCGGTCTAACAACCAACACCAGGAGACATATCTTTACTAGGTAAGCCGGTCAAACCACCAACACCACAGACATATCCTCACTAGGTAAGCCGGTCCAACCACTAACACCACAGACATATCACCACTGGGTAAGCCGGTATAACAACCAACACCAGGAGACATATCTTTACTAGGGAAGCCGGTCTAACCACCAACACCACAGACATATCCCCATTAGGTAAGCCGGTCTAACCACCAACACCCCAGACATATCCCCACTAGGTAAGCCTGTCTAACAACCAACACCAGGAGACATATCTTTACTAGGTAATACGGTCTAACCACCAACACCACAGACATATCCCCACTAGGTAAGCCGGTCTTACCGCAAATACCACAGACATATCCCCACTAGGTAAGCCGGTTTCACCGCCAATACCACAGACATATCCCCACTAGGTAAGCCGGTCTTACCGCCAATACCACAGACATATCCCTACTTGGTAAGCCGGTCCAACAACGAACACCACATATATATCCCACTAAATATTAATTGCTATCATACTTTTACTAATATTAACATCCTTTTTGTATGTGTAATAAGTCTTAATTTTCCACAAGTTGATATCAGCCCGGGTGATTTAATATGCTAGGGGTTTATTTTTCAGTTAATCTAGATGAGGTTGTAACTTTGAATTATACCACAGTTATTAAAAAAGTCGGATAGTTGTATTAAAATCAATCATTATACCGAAATATAATCATCTATTCATATCTGTTCCTACACCCGACAATAATTTTATTCAACAGTTGAACACTACTTTTTTCAATTTTATTTGGCAATCACCAGTCGACAAAATTAAAAGAGACACTATAGTCCAAAGCTATGAAAATGGAGGTCTGAAAATGATTAATATCAGGAATTATATAACAAGCCTTAAGTCTACATGGATAAGAAGATTACTTCTTATAATGATAAATGTTGGACAAATATTTTTGAAGGAGAACATTTTCCCACCATCAACATATCAGATTTTGGTACTGACTTCATTTAAAAAAATTAAACCCAAAAATGCCTTCTGGAAACATGTTTTTCAGGCATGGGTAGATATTTCAGAAGAAACACAAATGCAAATTAAAAATATTGAGCAGTTTCTTACTTTTCCTATATGGTATAACCCAATTTTCTGCATTGATAACCGTTCTTTTTTCATTAAAAATGGTTTGAGAAGGGTGTTAAAAATGTGTATGACCTACTGGACCAAGATAATTCTTTTCTAACCTTTGCAAACTTTTAACTAAAATTCAATATCGATTCAGAAAACTTCTTAATTTATCAAAGAATATATGCCAATCAAATAAGCAAAGATATACATGTAGACAATTTAACTTTAATTTAACTGTTGAAAACATTTTTTTTTTTTTAATTTAATTTTTTTATTTTCAAAGATTTTCAGAACATGTACATTATACAGAACATCACATCAACACATATCCACACATTCACACATATCTACTATTGAAATTATCAGCAACCTCATCCTCCTCATCATCCTCATCATCTGATGCTGATTTTATACAATCACCAAGACACATTCAATTTTCACACACTTTCACACATAGAATAGACAAAACAAAGAGAGAGAGAGAGAGAGAGAGAGAGAGAGAGAGAGAG